TTTTTTAAGTACTTCATTACAGGGAGAAGTAGCAGTTTGTTATTCTTTCTGTGCAATTCCTCAAGGTAGAAGAACCCCCTCTGACTTCTCCCTGGCATCCTCAGTAGTGGATCACCATAGACTCAACAAGTTGGAAAGGACCCCAATGGTAATCTTGTTCAAACCCCTGCAATGCAGTCATCTAAAAATCCCCTCAAAGACACAGACGGAGGACTGTAGGGTGGATGTAGAATGGGATATATACATTTCATCAGCAAGATCTGTCCAGTGGTTGTTATGGAGTTCTAAGAAAATAAAAAAGCATAGTTTTGAAATTGGTGGTTAAAATCAGTGCAGTTTTGAAATATTCAGTCCACCATCTTTATTCAAAAAAGGTGTCCACTTGTAACGAAACACAGACAAAAACCTGCTCCTTGATCTCAGGGACCCTTGTACAAAATTTGGTTACAATATTTTAAGAGGTATCAAAAACAGACAAATAAACAAATAACTTTCTGAAATATATAGTAGATTTTATGTTGGTCATGCTCTGAGAGAAAGCTGTGAGGCTGGACAATTTCCATGAAAGTGGCAGGAGTGCTCTTATTCCTAGTGGCGAAATGTTAGTCATACATGGTTTCCTTATGAAGTTCTTAGCCCTACTTCTGAGAGTCTAGTTAAGAGGGAAATTCTTTTATTTCATTTGTACTACAGTTAGAATTATAACTTCAGAAGAAATGCCATTTAGAAGGGGGGATTTTAAAGCAGTGTTAAGGGGAGGGAAGAAACTTCTCTGTATAAGGGTTTATTTTTATAGGAACCCTTTTTAAGTGCCTGTATGAAAGTATCCGACAGAAGGGCTACACAGTTACCCAGTGACCTATAAGAACTGCTCCCTAGATAAATTATTATTATTATTTATACTAAATTTTTATACCGCTCTTCATCTGAGGATCACAGGGTGGTTTACAATATAAAAGCACAAATATTAATAACATTGTAACAAACCAAAACAGTACCCCCAAGTTTAAAAGGCCATCATTTGTTTAATTAGCCAAAGGCCTAGAAGAAGCAGACTGTTTTTGCCTGGTGCCTAAACAAATGTAATGAAGGCATCAAGTGAGCCTCCCTGAGGAGAGCATTCTACAACCAGGGAACCACCACAGAAAGGGCCTATTCTTGTGCTGCCACCCTCTGGACCTCTCATGGAAGAGGCACACAAAAATTGGGCCTCAGATGATGACAGCAGGAACCTGGTCAGTTCACATGAGGAGAGGCAGTCCTGGAGGTATTGTGGCAGTTCGAATCCCCGCGATGGGGTGAGCTCCCGTTGCTTGGTCCCATCTCCTGCCCACCTAGCAGTTCGAAAGCATGTCAAAGCGCAAGTAGATAAATAGGTACCACTCCAGCGGGAAGGTAAATGGCATTTCTGTGTGCTGCTCTGGTTCATTTAGTCATGCTGGCCACATGACCTGGAAAAACTGTCTGCGGACAAACACTGGCTCCCTTGGCCAGTAAAGTGAGATGAACGCCGCAACCCCAGAGTCGTTTGCGACTGGACTTAACTGCCAGGGGTCCCTTTACCTTTACCTTTTAAGTCAAACCCAGCACTTTGAATTGGACCCGGAAACTGACTGGCAGTTTCCATTACCGAGGGAATTTCTATAGATCACAGCCATATTTATTAACCATATTTATTATAGCTTATGAATGCAATCCTTGATCTTTAGAATGCATACTTCCTCATTCTCTGGAAATGGGCCCCATTCTTAACATAATCTGTAAAATCTATGGAGTCGCCCAACTCCAAATCACCTTTGAACAAACAGCTATGTAATTCAAGAAAAGTTGATCCAACTTTTTAATGTGTTTTCTGTTCCCTGTTTCCATGTATCAGCCTGTTCAGGATCCCTACACTTAGTTGACTATCCTCGTAAGTGAACGGCAAGGCTGAGTCAGAGTCTACGTACTGAACTTATTATTTGGAGCCACCTCCATATGTCTCAATGGATACCACAATGAATATCAAAGTATTTCTTCACTGTATTGGGCTATAACAATTTATTTGATATCAATTAATTTCTTTGATATCATTAATTAATGCTGCAAGTTTGGGCAATAGCAGGATGTGCTTCCACATGGCAACTGTAGCACAAACTCTGGACCTGCGAACAGGGCTGAAATTAGGTTTCATGAGGCCCTAAACTACAGAAGGTCCTATATATGTCCAGCTGTCCTTTGTCAACAACAAATTGTCACTGTTTTTTGTGTTGAATATATGCTATATGGTAATTTATGGACCTAATAGGTATCTAAAGCCATTTGCACATAATAAAATATGGATTTTATCAAAGTAATTGTTGAACTGAAATACAATTAAGAAGTATCCACTTTTTTCCCCTTTAAATTTTTTTGGGTCCCCCAAGAGAGTGGGGCCCTAAGCCATAGCCTGTTTAGCTTATACGTAAATCCGGCACTGCCTGCGAATGTTAGACTCCTGCAAGACAATTCTATTCATGCTTCCTCCAAAGTAAGTCCAGATGTGTCCAGTGACTCTCACACTGGGCCAGCCCTACCATTAGACAGGGTGAGATAGCCACCTCAGGCAGCAGAATCATGGAATTGTAGAGTTGGAAGGAACCCCAAGGGTCATCTAGTGCAACACCCTGCAATGCAGGAATCTCAGCTGAAGCATCCATGACAGATGGCCATCCAACCTCTGCTTAAAAACTTCCAAAGAAGGAGAGTCCACAACCTCCTGAGAGACTCTGTGGCAGGGGAGCTAGGCTGCAGCAGTGAGGTGTAGAAGAGCAGAACTGAATGTGTTACAGGCCAAGGCCTACACCCTTTAAGCTAGTCTATTGTTCTCAGGCATGGTGGAGTGTGGTGACCCATTATTGGTGCTGATTCAAGATTCCACTACAGTAGTTGGCTTCAGTACATGGGATGGGTAGGAGGCACCATCTTGTGATTCACTTCAAGCAGTAAAATTTATTGGGCTTGCCCTGCCCGCACAATAATAGGAGGTATAAAATTTGTCCACTGGCAGTCACTATAGTCCTCCCCTGTCCACCATGTTGCTTCAGTGCTTCCCCACTGCCACTCCTCTTACACAATTCACTGAGGCCAGAGCATTCATTTCAAGGTGAGCTTCCTATGGCTTCCATTCATTGACATATTCAGAGATGTATGGTGTCCCCTTGACATGATCTTAAAGCAGGAGGAAAATGTGCAGTGGCCTGAAGAACAGTTTTAGTGTTAGCATTGTTTCAATTTCTATTCTGCCTTTCCTCCCAAAGGAGCCTAGGGTGGCGGACAACAAAGCAGAAAAACAATACAATTAAAAACAAAATAAAGGCATATTTAAAACACCTAAGAACATCTAAAGAAAAGAAAAATCACCCACTGACCCTCCCAGTTCATAATTTCATGTTTCCAGGAACAGTATCTTTCAGTCATCAAATTCCTGGATGAACAGGAATGCTTTTAAATTCCTCCTGAATGTTAACAATGAGGAAGACAAGATGTATTGCACCAGGGAGGCATTCTCCAAATGGGCAAAGACTGTCGAGAAGGCCCTGTCGTGGAACCAGGTGTGCCAACTCAGGAGGGAAATGGGGGTGGGGCTGAGGCTGATATCATGCATGATACTGTGTTGTTGCACACTGTGTCTGGGTGTTGCATGCGATGTCACAACACCCTGCATGACAGCCGGAAGTCGGACATGGCGCTGGTGCACACAACATCCAAACATCACCCAACAGCTTGGCTTCCATGACTGTTGGCTCCTCCTCCTGTTCCTACCAGGAGCTGGGAACTGCTTCCCCTCCACAGCAGGAGAAGGAGGAGCTGCAGTGTTGCTTCTGAGCATCGTGTACACCATTGTGACACCCAGGTAAACATTGCAGCGGTTCAGCCCCCTGCTAAAAAATATTGGAGGGGCTCAAGGGGGTCAGTCCCTAGCAGTCAGTGCCCCTGATCAGAGCAGCACCATCCAAGCAGTACTCAGCCCCAGCAAAGTCTCCCATGCCGGTGACAGGACCCAAGAAGGTTGATACTGGGGAGGAACTCTTCTAGATATCTGGGTCCCAAGCCATTTAGGGCTTTATATGCTAGCACTAACACTAACTGATCAAATTTGCAGATGACACCAAACTGGGAGGGGTGGCTAACACCCCAGAGGACAGGATCACACTTCAAAACGACCTTGACAGATTAGAGAACTGGGCAAAAACAAACAAGATGAATTTTAACAGGGAGAAATGTAAAGTATTGCACTTGGGCAAAAAAAATGAGAGGCACAAATACAAGATGGGGGACACCTGGCTTGAGAGCAGAACATGTGAAAAGGATCTAGGAGTCTTGGTTGACCACAGACTTGACATGAGCCAACAGTGTGACGCGGCAGCTAAAAAAGCCAATGCAATTCTGGGCTGCATCAATAGGAGTATAGCATCTAGGTCAAGGGAAGTAATAGTGCCAATGTATTCTGCTCTGGTCAGACCTCACCTGGAGTACTGTGTCCAGTTCTGGGCACCACAGTTCAAGAAGGACACTGACAAACTGGAACGTGTCCAGAGGAGGGACAACCAAAATGGTCAAAGGCCTGGAAACGATGCCTTATGAGGAACGGCTAAGGGAGCTGGGCATGTTTAGCCTGGAGAAGAGGAGGTTAAGGGGTGATATGATAGCCATGTTCAAATATATAAAAGGATGTCACATAGAGGAGGGAGAAGGGTTGTTTTCTGCTGCTCCAGAGAAGCGGACATGGAGCAATGGATCCAAACTACAAGAAAGAAGATTCCACCTAAACATTAGGAAGAACTTCCTGACAGTAAGAGCTGTTCGACAGTGGAATTTGCTGCCAAGGAGTGTGGTGGAGTCTCCTTCTTTGGAGGTCTTTAAGCAGAGGCTTGACAACCATATGACAGGAGTGCTCTGATGGTGTTTCCTGCTTGGCAGGGGGTTGGACTCGATGGCCCTTGTGGTCTCTTCCAACTCTATGATTCTATGATTCTATGATTCTAACACCTTGGATTGGGTCTGTCAGCTCTCCCACCCTCCAGCTCCCAGGATGGTTAGCAAAATACTGCTAGAAATAATGCACTGGTACACTTTTACATGGCACATGCAATGATGTAGGAAGGCTATTCAATAAGTGAACACAGGAATCCAGAAAATTGTTGACTGCACCAGCCAACTTGGGAGGCACATTCTGACCCTCTCTTGAAGACTCTGTACAAATTGCAGGTGGTGAAGGAATGCCCTCCTGCTGGTGTTGAACAGCTTAGAGCCTGTTGTAGAGCCTTTACTCTCCCAGCGTGCTTTCGGGGGAGAAGGAATCCATCTTCAATTTATTCTTTATCATTCACAGCACAAACTGCTGGAGCCAGAGCAGATAGATACAAAGCAAGGTCATAAATCAATCATTTCCATTTGGAAAACACAATAATGATTTTTGTGGATCTTATCATTCTTGTATCACACTGCTGCCTCAATCGCCTACAGATCTCCTGAAACATACTTTAAAAGTTGGTTTTTGCATTCCTTTCCTCTTCCCATGCCTGGTTTATGAGCATTGAGTGACATTTGTTTAAACATTTTTGTCCATTAGGGTTGGAATGCAGAATGGTTTAAAGTCGCATAAAACTATTTTAAGCCCAGAGAAGGCAAACATCACATTGCCTTTGAACAATGTGGCGGTGCACCTGTAGGCTGTTAAACATTTTGTTTCATTCCTTCACCTCTGGCCACTATTGCCATGTTGAGGGCTGACCCTTTTACAAAGTGAGGGCTGCAACAAAACATTGCAGTGTGACTCATGTTCAGATTTCCAATCATTCCATTCAATTCTCCCTCCCCACAGTCAGAGCTGGTTTAACCACTAAGAGAACTGGTGGAGCCTAAGGCAGCAACATTTTAGGGGTGGAAAATTAGAAGGGCAGTTCTATGCTCCTGTTGGTTCCTCTGTCAACTCATGGAGAGGGAAAAGATTTTACAACCTGAGTCTTTTTATTTTAAAGTAAATACCAAATTTGATTTGACTGCTGCCACTGAAAGTCAAAAAAGAATGGGGACATAGAGAAGGATCAAACTTGAAGTGAACTGTCATTGTTATTTAAGGACTCCAGACAGGTTTTACTTTTGCATCTTCACTTTTAAGCAAAACCATTTTTAAGAAGTTTTTTTTTTTAACAGGTGGGATGCAGTCTGGTAAACAACAGCTGGAAGCCATTTTGCAATCCACACTTAATATTTGGTGCTTAAAACTGGTAAGGGGCAGAGGCGGACATTTCTAAAAAGGTTTCTTTTTGAAGATTGTTCTTCTCATTTCTTTTTGTTTCTCTCCTCTCCCAACAATTTCAGTACGAAGTTTGCCTCTATTTCAGAACTGAGCCTAAGTTTCTTTGTTTTTCAGACAGTTGCCTAGTCCTTCTATGGCCTCATGGCAGTTAAAAACATTAGCCTAAGGCCAGTTTTGTGCTTTGGGCATTCACTGCTGCCAACCAGCATTGGGATGTTTGCTTTGGCCATTGACCCTTGCTGCCGTCTGAGGTCTTCAGACTGTCCTAGGCTTTGCTTAGTTCAACAGTGCTTGGGCCTCATGGTGTGCTCTTGATGGAAAAGAATTCACGTAGACACGGAGGTCAAGAAGAGAGCGTGAGAGGATGAGTGTTTGCGCTCAGCTCTCACATCCTAAACAATTTCTTTCACCAGAGTAACGCAAGAAAAACCCCTTCCAGCCAACTGGCAGGAGCTGGCCAAAGGAAGGTTGAGCTGTGGTTATCTCCAGAGGCAACCCCAAGTGACAAGGCTGCCCCAAGGCAGAACTTGAGGAAGTGCCGGCCTTTGCCTTACTCATGTTCAAAGAACAAATATTTGCTTGATAATACGTCACATGTCCCTGATCATTTGCTATCATATTCTGAGAAGCTGTTATCGTGATGCTTACGCATATTGCACGGGGACACAAGTTAAGGTTCCCACGGCAACCTCGGCTGCAAAGTACCCACCATTTGCTGCCTATTAAGCCTCCAGCCTAATCTTTCATTAACCCAACACTCTGCATTTAGCGTCATTTACATGTAAATGCAAAGAAGAGATAAAGTTTGTATTTAGGGCAAGGATCTGCAGTTTCGTGTGCTATCTACCTTGAGAAGATTGTTCAGCTGTGGAATCTGCTGTGTGGTATGATGATATAAATCAGATTGAGATCTATCAACTTGAATTAAAAAAACAACCCAAGAACATATAAATACCCTGAAGATAAAAGAGGCTTGGTCAAATGAATGTTGCAAACTGGCTCAGCAGTGAGTTGACTGAAAGGAAATATGGAACCATTTGGTTCCATATCAGATAGCAAAATTAAAGTTAAAACCTTAAAATTAAACTATCACAGATATTAACCCAAGCAGCAGCAAGGATAATCTTGCTGATAAAGTCCAGAAACTGAGTCCATTGGGGCTTATTCCCAGGTAAGTGGGCATATCAGGAGTGGCTAACCCTTTTCTGTCTGATGCCAGCATTGAATGTGGCCAAAATAGCTATTGCATCCTCACGTATTCACCACATGTACATACATACATACAAACATACATACATAGCACACAATACATACATAGCACACAATCTCCACACATACACACACAAGAAGCACACTCACACTTAAGGGAAATTCAGGTGTTTACATGAACTCACAAGCACCCAACTGTGCAGGGAGCAGAGTCATGAACACAGACCCCATCCCAACATCACCACACACAGAGTGCCATCTGCTCAGCCCCGCAACCTCCCCATGTTGTGCGGAAAAGCTCTGCATAGGGATTCTTCTCACATTCCTCTGAGTAGAACTCTCCGTATGGTCACAGACAAAGATGAAGCAGGGGCCCTGATCCCATGAAGGGTTTGGCTTGCATCCAGGCGAACACAAGCGGAAGAAGTCCTATGCAAGGTGGGGAAGCTTGGGGACTGAGAGCTTGTCCACATTTCTGTTTGCCCTACTGCTTTCCCCTCTCTACTGCTGAATCAAAGCCAACGTCAACTGAGTTTTCCATGGACCGCTGTTTCCTGTGATTCAGTGGTAAAGAGTGAGTTTTCCTGGGGAAAGTGGCAGGGCAAACGGAAAACATCTTGAGCCCGTGCCTAGAAAGCACGGGGCAAGCAGAAAACCTCGCAGACCCATGCCTTCTGGGCACAGGACAGGCAGAAGTTTGGACGAGCCCTGAGTAGAGGGGAATCACTCACATTGAAGTGCATCCTGCAAACACATCCCTTCTTCCTTCCCTACAAAGGGCTTTATTTCGGAGGTTTGAGCCTCAGTACCCTTAGGCAGGGCTGGGAGTGACTCTTGACTAAAACTCTGAAGAGTTACTGCTAGTCAGTATAGGTAATACTGAGTTGGATGGACCAGGCATCTGATCCAGTAGAAGGCAGCTTCTTATGTCAGCTCCTCAACACACCCACCATGAGAACACAAAAACAAATACAGGACACGTACAGAGACATTCAGACAGACATGCAGGGACACACATATTCTTATACTACACAATATATGATTGGACTCTTAGGGGTAGCATGAATTAGCTAGTCTGAAAATTGTTTTAAATGGTGGGATATAGACAGTGCCGGATTTACGTATAAGCTAAACAAACTATAGCTTAGGGCCCCACTCTCTTGGGGGCCCCTAAAAAATTTAAAGGAAAAAAAACCCTGGATGTACATTTCCAAAATATAAGATAAAAAACAAATAAAATGGCTTTAGATACCTATAAAAGATACTTCTTAATTGTATTTCAGTTCAACAATTACTTTGATAAAATCCATATTTTGTTATGTGCAAATGGCTTTAGATACCTATTAGATCCATAAATTACCACACAGTACCAATTCAACACAAAAAAACAGCGACAATTTGTTGTTTCAAAGGACAGTTGGACATATAAAGGGCCCCATGACCTTCAGTAGCTTAGGGCCTCATCAAACCAAAATCCGGCCCTGGATATAGACCACAACACAAAGCAAAGCTATATTATAGTTACTTGAAATAACAAAAAAGTTCATAAAGAGTTTTGTTTTGTTGACACAAACATGTTTTTGCCATTTCTTTCTTTTTGCCAGGGCAGAACATAATCTTTTGTGTGTTATGACCACTGTTACATAAAAAACAGATCAAGGCAGGCGATGCACCCCTGTTAGTTCAAAGAACACGTTCTCACATGAAGCCCAAGGAAGGGCTGGCACTGGAGCCCAGAACTCCATCTAGCACATACGTCGAGAAAACATTGTTCCTCGGTTTTGATTTACCTGTCTGCAGTACATCTGTCAGTTTCCCACCTGAATCCTTTTGGCAAATAGCCCCACCTCTTTGGTATACAGGATGCAAAAGACCTGGAGATTTTTGATTAATGGATCTTGAGATGCTTTCCCAGCAGCTCTGCTCTCATAGCAGGAGATGTTGTTTTGTTTCTGGTTCCTGCACTAAAGTAACATTTCAGTCCTAAAAATGGTCTCAGTGAAAGCTAAAATGGACAAAGTAATCTATTTTAGGTGCATATCTCCCTCACATGTATTTCACACACAAATCTGCTCTATTCCATTTCCCCAATATTCTGTGAAAATGAAAAAAGAAAGCTGCATATAGTTTTTGGCTAATCTTCTCTTTGATATCTTAATGGTGTGTTGTTGTTTTTAATGTGCACGTACAGATTCACCATCTCGCTAAGAACAAGGCTCTGTGTGAAAGACATTGGAGCCCCCTTCAGGTCAACAGTTGACACAACCCTTTGGGTACCCTCCAAAACTGATACAAAATAAGCATCCTCCATTTTCTCAGTCAATTAATAAAACTGAATGGTTTTTGTGGTTATGGTTACGGACTCTTAAGGGAGGCCAGTCAAATTATCTGTGTATTCAGAAGGATCTTGAATGTAGCAAAAGGGTGTTGTCTTATCAACACAGCTTGTTTTGGAGAGAATACAGAACTATTATTTATTTAACCTTGCAATGTCTGTTTAATAAAATGGCTCGGTGAGTTTTGTTGTCTTTTGGCGTGAATAGCTTACAGAGTTTATGCTTTCTCAAACTTGCTTATGGCATTCCCCCAAAGATTTGCTCTGCCATTTCTGCAAATAGAAACACAATCTTGCATCAACCAGAGTGCCAGCCTGAGAACTGGCAATGGGTGAACTTCACTAAGCTCAGTTTAGAATGAACTCAACCCAAACCAGCCAATTAAGGCTTACAGAATCCACACAGAAATGCATATGTTTAAATAAATAAATAAAATTGCTTCTGAGGAGGCTGAGAAGTTGCAGTGCTACTTCTGCTTGTTTAACTGTTTAACAGTTTTTACACAGCGGCAGCAACAGAATGGCATTAGGAAAATCAACAAATGCCCAGGGAAAGGGAAATATCTTCATCTGAAACAAAAAAAAATCAGTGTCAGTGCATGGAAGTTCCCAGGAATGGTGTGTGTGTGTGTGTGTGTGTGTGAGAGAGAGAGAGAGAGAGAGAGAGAGAGAGAGAAAGGGGGGGGGGGGAGAGACTTCCCACAATAAACTCATTGACAAGCAGCAAAGAGAATTATATAATATTAACCTGAACTGTTCAGAGGGAAATTCAATTTGATTCAGATTTAAAGGCGAACCTATCTAATTCACAACATGCAAACCTAAACACATCCAGTTTTGGAAATTCACACATCTCTCAATTTTGCAATGTAATACTCCAGCCAAATAATTTGTATAAAAATGCACATACTAGAGTAAACATGTATCTGAAGTAGTGTGCATGCACATGAAAGTTTATACCAGAACAAACTTAGTTGGTCTATAAGGTGCTACTAGACAAAATTTTAATTTTTTTATTTTTGTTTCAACTGCGTCAGATCAACATGGCTACTTACCTGAATCTAGAGTAAACATGAACATGCATTATGTAGAGGGACACTGCTTTGCAAAAAAGGTGAATATTTGGCAAAGTTGAATACTAACATGTATTAGGAAAAATTCACTGATGAATTTTCCCGAGAACTTTTTTTTTAAAAAAAAATGCAGCCTGGTGTGAAAATGTGGAGAACTTTTTTTTTTTAATAAGATATTTATTAAGATTTTTTAAAATATTACAATAAAAATGGAAAAAATAAATGACAAAAATACAAAATAAAAATAGTTAAAAACACACAGATTTTCCATTACTTATTTTCCTTTGACTTATTTCCCGGACCTCCTCATACCTCCCTTTTTTGTATTCCACTTCAATCTGTTGGTTCAGCAAATCCTTTAAAAATAATAATATTAAATTTTTACCTATTTATAACCCTTTTTTCATATTCCCTTAAAGCATTACAGCTGGAAACCACTTAATTACTATCCAACATCATTCTAACATTCATTAATTTTACAATATTTCTGTAGATAATCTTTAAATTTCTTTCAATCTTCTTCCACCGACTCTTCTCCCTGGTCTCGGATTCTGCCCGTCATTTCTGCCAGTTCCATATAGTCCATCAGCTTCATCTGCCATTCTTCCACAGTGGGTAAATCTTGTGTCTTCCAATACTTTGCAATGAGTATTCTTGCTGCTGTTGTGGCATACATAAAAAAAGTTCTGTTCTTCTTTGGCACCAATTGGCCGACTATGCCCAGGAGAAAGGCCTCTGGTTTCTTCAAGAAGGTATGTTTAAATACCTTTTCAGTTCATTATATATCATTTCCCAGAAGGCCTTAATCCTTGGGCACGTCCACCAAAGGTGAAAGAATGTACCTTCAGTTTCTTTACATTTCCAACATTTATTGTCGGGCAAATGATAGATTTTTGCAAGCTTGACTGGGGTCATGTACCACCTGTATATCATTTTCATAATATTCTCTCTTAGGACATTACATGCCGTAAACTTCATACCTGTGGTCCATAACTGTTCCCAGTCAGCAAACATAATATTATGTCCAACATCTTGTGCCCATTTAATCATAGCAGATTTCACCGTTTCATCCTGAGTATTCCATTTCAACAGCAAGTTATACATTCTTGACAAATTCTTAGTTTTGGGTTCTAACAGTTCTGTTTCTAATTTTGATTTTTCCACCTGGAAGCCAATTTTCTTGTCCAAATTATATGCTAAATTATATGTGGAGAACGGAAAGGACTGGGAAAACATGCAACTGTCAGAAAGCAAAACTGACAGATCCACCCCATCCTACCTGAACACCACCAGAATGCAAACTAGAGTTGAGCAAAAGATCATATGCCACTAAGAAGCAGCATTATACTAAATCCAATTGAAGCAAAAGCAGTAACGTGATCTAAGGAACCCATTCTACAGGAAGGAGCAGAGTGAGACTCGCATAGGATTGACTTGTCAATGTGTCAATTTCCTGCTCATGCTTTATAGACATATATTGTTATGTGTTTGTGGGGTGCAAGACTCCCCTAAATTCCTGGAAACAGGAAAGGGCTAGAATTTAAGAATCTCCCAAATTTTTGGATCTAGCAAGGGTCAGAAATAACACCGGTCAACCTGATAATGGCCACTAAGATGGGCCATTAGCAGGGAACAAAAGCAGGGAGATAACCCATCAGAATTGGGCTATGATGCAAGCTGAAGAGGAAAAATAGTTGTGTTTTGCAAGCTATGAGAAAGGGGGGCCAGAGCAGCATGGGGGCTGGCAGTTTGGGATCCAACATGAGGGAGATGAAACTTGTCTTGAGTGTAATGCTCTGAACCTATTCAACAGTAGGCTCAGGTTGTATATATGTGTAAATAAACTGCATATCATAAAGACACTACAGTCTCTGTTGTGCCACATTGTCCAAAAGGAAACACAGACCCTGGTAAGCATGCCTGGTACCCCTGGAATCTTGTACCACTCAGAGATTGGAGTGGCATGTAACGAGAGAGAGAGAGAGAGAGAGAGAGAGAGAGAGAGAGAGAATCGCACTGTTAAACTGGAAAAGGCCATAAGCTGACCATGAGCAATAACTGAAAAGCTACTGTTTGCTGTGCAATGCTACAAATTGTAATTGTCTTCAAGGGAACAGACATTAGAAACACAGTATTTTGCATAACAACTCTGTTGGTCTTTCCAATCTTCTATTGATTCTCTGGGTGTAGGTGAAAGCACCTATAGCAATAAATAAAGCCACCACACACCCTTTCTTTACACATGGGGTGCATCTACAATTGTCCCCTTTTCTCTGGAACTGCACTTGTTATGGAGCATCCAACCCCTCCCCCCCGTCCATAAACTATTAATCAGAACTGTATTTCAGAATATTTCCTACATGGTTCATAACCCTGACCAATTAAAAATGAATATTGAGTCTAGCACGCAATAGTAGTCTGATTTCATCAATTGACCAACTGCATGGTAAGAGCACGTTGCACAGTCATCATGTCCAGTGCTTCTCCCTTAACTTTATTTGCAATGTAAACTTGATTCATATCTCTATTTCAAAAGAAAAAGAAACCCCACAAGCTGAGCATTATTTTTTTAGCATTGTACATCCTCCTCGGATGTGGTGATCCTATTATATGGCTATATATGCTTTAAGGCATATTACTGACATAAAAGCATGTTGCACCACAAGCTATTTCATGCCACTGATGGGGTTTCATTTTAATTTACTGTAGTGTTTTTTGACAAGGGTTGCTTTTCAAAACTGAGATTCAATTGAGTCAAATAAGTCCTGTAATTGTTTTCTTCCCTCCTCCTAAACAGCAGGTCACTTCTTGCTTCACTGACCACAGAGAATTAAGCAAGACTTCTTCAACATGAGGAGCAGGGGCAGGGGCAGGGGCAGGGCAATTCTGAAGGTAAGTGTGAAGTTGTGAAAGTGTCTCTGTTGTGTCGTGTTTACTGCCTCATGCCAACATGACTGAATCAAATCCCTAATAGCAGGGTACAGTGTATGTGATCCGTTCTGGATTGAAGAAAAGAGAATTTGTAACTTTAAGTGGTACTTCCAAGGCATGAGCATCCATAGTAGTTTATAGCAGGGGTGGCGAACCTGTGTCTTTCCATTTGCCGCTGGACTCCAGTTCCCATCATTCCTTGCAACAATGGCCAGTGGTCAGGGAGGATGCAAGTTGTTGCCAAGGGCCACAGGTCCCTCATCTCTGAGCTGTACAGTCTCCATAGACCCATATTCTGTGTCCAAGCAGTACAAGGAAACTGGCATCATTTAACTTAAATGTCTGGGAATTACTACAAGCTCAACAGTAAGAGAAAAGAAGACGGGGGTGGTGGAAATATTGCATCTGTTCTTAGCTTTCTCACATCCTATTGTGTACAAGGATTTCCTGTTTAATCATCCTGCTCTTGTAAAGTCCCCACACGGTTCTCTTTCCTGGCTCCTGTAACTTCACTAGGTCCCCTGTAACTTCACCCAGGCCAGTTACAAATTTAACACACTAGGTGCTGTGTTCCTGTCCACTTGTCAACACCCACACCATTCTCTTCACATGAACCCCCTACTGCTTCCCCTTCCTGCCTTATGCAACTACCAAGCTTGCTTTTCACTGTCCCAACCACATTTCCAAAGCCACTTGTCTCTTCTATTCTGCAGACCTGCTTTGCATCAATTCTCACCTTTGCCTCATGCCTCATTGTCTCCTCCTCCCTCTCCTTTTTCACAATCCCCCGTTCACACAGACCACCTCCATGCTAACTTCTTGCATCTTCTTCTTCCCATGCATTGCAAATACTAACCACCCTTCTCACTTTCTGCCCAGTCATGAAGCCACCGCCTCCCACTGTACAGCAGGGGTGCTAGCTAGAATATTTGGGCAGGGGCAGGTAAGTTCCACCCTGCATAATTGATGTGGAGCATGCACACCATTTGAATGGCAATGTCCATTAACTGGGGGGGGGGCTCCTTCAAATATTTTATGGGGGTGGCAAAGACCCCTTGGGCTCTAGGAGTTGGCTTCTGTGTTCTACAGAAACATTCAGCTTCCGCCCCATTCCCATGTCTCCTACTCTGTCATTTTTTGTACCCACTATGCATGACTTTTTTACTTTCACACTCTCTTTTGCTCCACCCTCCTCCTTTCTTTTCTTAACCCTCCCTTCCACCCAGATCACACCCATTTCCCTGCCTTATCCTCTCCCCTATTCCACAGCCCCCTTTATGTACACATGCTCATTCATACATGCCATTACACCTTTATGATGTACTCAAAAACCTTGTTCTAAACTGCCGCCCCATTGTTATCCCTCCTCATTCTGTTTAAACTTCTGCCATTGCTTATGGTAAATCACTTTCCCCCTCTGTTTCCCCCTGTCCCTCCTTTTCTCAAACTTGCTGTTTAAAACCGCCATTTCCTCTGTGTACCTCAACACCATGCTTTAATCAAACAAACTTCTGCTGTTTTTCAAAACCATCATTTTCTTCTGCTGTTATGCAACCCGACTCCTCTTGTGCTCCCTTCCCCTAACCTTAATGCAGATCCAGAATAGTGATGGGGCAACTGCAAATCCTCCACTGGAAGCTGTACAGTGATGGTCTCATATTTTTATATATCTAGGAATAAATAGGAGGGGGGATGTTTTTCTAGCTGTAAGCTAAATTCCAATGTATCTTGTGGGAATGAAGTGTCCCAGAAACCAAGGATATGCTGTCAAAAGAAGACTGCCTTCCAGGATCAACATTTTCTCTGAAAAATGCCATGGGACATGACTCATCCCAATATGTTGAAAAGTGGGTCAAAAAAGTGACAAAAATCAATAAAATACTTGTTGTTGTTGTTGTTGGCTCACGTTCCTTTTTGTTTTCAATTAGAAAATTGATTATGGGCCCCAAATGTACATCAGTGAATCATTTTGTGTTGGGGTGTGTGTGTTTGTGTTGTGCTCTCTCTCTCTCTCTCTCTCTCTCTGTGTGTGTGTGTGTGTGAGAGAGAGAGAGAGAGAGAGAGAGATAAACATCAACACACACAACCCCCCCACAACAATCCCAAAGCAAAAACCAATAAACTTACTGAGACTTTTTTTCACCTCAGACACTTTCTGGAAAAAATAAAACTGTGAAATTTGCCTGAAATTTGGTGAAATTGCTTTATACAGTGTAGGCTTTCTCACCGGGGGGAGGGAACGCTGTTACCAACACCCGTGGTCTTCTTCCCGAACCTCTAGGTCTGTTTTTGGAGACCTTCCCACATCACAACGAATCCTTCTAAGGTCTGGAAGCCCTCCTGAACCTTCTGAGGGGTTGTGAAGCCTTACAACCCCCGTTTCACCCCCCCGGTGAGTGCATGTCTTCTGGAGCCCAAGAAACGCGTGTTTGGAGTTGAGCCGCGGCAAACCCGGAAGTCCAGAGATTGGTATCAGAAGAATGCAGAGTTCTTAGAGTTGGTCAAGCGTTCGGCAGCCATCTTGCAAGGTGTCAGTCTCAGTCAGGCAGAACAGCATTCCTGCCACTGTGTTTGCACCCCACTGAGCTCCCTATAAGTTCACCTCTCAACCTCTCAGTAAACAATAGTGACCCACCTGCCAGGAAGCTAGCAAAATGGCAGCACCACACCTGGTGAGCTGCTACTACCATGGGAATCTCCTCTGCTGCCTTTAGTATCCCGACAATAGCAGGAGGGGAAAAGAAACATTCAAGGAGTATGCTGGTGGAGGTTTTGGGTCCAGGAGATTCTCCTGTTCCTCTGACACACAGAGAATGGGTAGGAGAGTGTGCTGGCCTTAATCCCAGTGTACTTATATTTCCTTCCAATGGGAGGAGCTGTTTTTATAAGGACATGGAAAAGGGGGAGAAGATAAAGTGCCACCCTTCCATTTTTCTGCTCTTCCTTTGGTGGCTCCTCCACCTTGGAGCCCTCCCTCCCTTGAACCCTTTGGATTGTTTTGTTATTCCATTCTTATTTTTTAAACCACCTTCAAACAACACGTGATAAGGTGAAGGAAAAATATATTTTAAAAGACCTGAAATTTTATTACGAATCAGCTTGCTTATGTTGGCTAAAAGAATGGATGACATTGCAGAACTCAGATTTACTAGATTTGGAAGGTTTCGATAATCGCTTTGGGTGGCATGCCTACCTAGGATATGAAAAAGTTAAAATTCATAGAGGCTTCCTGAATCATATCATAAGGAAGCCACTATATAAGGTATGGGAGAAGTATAAAGATTTATTGGAACCAAAAACTCCATGGTGGCTAACCCCTCTGGAGGCCATTGCAGTGAAAAGAAAAAAAATGGAAACAAATTGGGCCACGTACAAAGCCCTATTAGAAGAAGATAATCAATTGAAAGTGAAACAATTCGAAGAAATCAGACATCACCTAATGGACTGGCTACAATATTACCAATTAAATAAGGTTTTAAAGACAGACAGGAAAAAAGGTTTTGCAACAGAAGAATCAAAATTAGATAAAGAATTAATACAGAATAAGAAAAGTAATATCTAAAATGTACAAGTTTCTTTTAGAGTGGGAGGTGAAAGATGAAGAGGTGAAAGAAGTAATGATTAAGTGGGCAAAAGATTTTGGTAAGAATATCCAATTGTCGGCATGGGAAAGATTATGGAATAAAGAATGGAAATTTACGGCATGTTATACACTAAAGGAAAATTTCTAGAAGATGTTCTATAGGTGGTATATAACTCCCAGCAAACTGGCCAAAATGTATAAAATGAGATCTAATACTTGCTGGAAGTGTAAACAGGCAGAAGGGCCATAGTTTCATATGTGATGGGGCTGCAAAAAAATTAAGAATTTCTGGGACATTTATGAGGAATTGAAAAAAACGTTTAAGCAAACTTTTACAAAGAAATCAGAAGCCTTCCTCTTGGGCATTTTAGATTCAGATATTCCAAATAAATAAAAAAAAGGAGAATATTTCTATATGCTACAACAGCAGCAAGAATACTGATTGCAAAAAAATGGAAAGGAGAATCAATATCAACAAAAGAGGAATGGCAGAATAAACTATTTAAATATCTAGAATTAGCAAAAATGACAGAGACAATTAGGAGACAGCCAAACCAAAAGTTCAAAAAAGAGTGGGAAACTTATAGAGAATATTTTAAAAAAACAGTGTCCCCAGGTCAAAACCTGGACATGCTTTGATTAATTTTCGCAAATTACAAGACAGATTATAAGTATAGCATACAGATAACAGAGGAAATGGGAAAATGACCAAAGAAGCAGATTAACAAAAAGATAAGACAGACTCGCATTGAGGAAGATGGAAGTCCATCAGGTTAAATAATTGGGAATTAAGAATATGGTGTCATAAATTATATTTTCAGAACTTATGGGTGTATGGATGGGTGTTCTTCCTCCCCCCCCCATTTTTTATTTTGTGTGTTTGTGTCTGTTATTTGTAAGAAATGGAACAATTTGTAAAACGTAAGAAAACTAATAAAAAGCATTATAAAAAATAAATTAAAAAACATTTAAAAAGCAAGCACTTTGGACTGGTGTAAATGCTATTTTAAATGCTATTATATCAGCTCTGTAAATGCTATTATATCAGCCCTGAGTGCTCACTGGAAGGACAGATCCTGAAGCTGAGGCGCCAGTACTTTGGCCACCTCATGAGAAGAGAAGACTCCCTGGAAAAGACCCTGATGTTGGGAAAGATGGAGAGCACAAGGAGAAGGGAATGACAGAGGATGTGATGGTTGGATAGTGTTCTCGAAGCTACGAACATGAGTCTGACCAAACTGCGGGAGGCAGTGGAAGACAGGAGTGCCTGGCGTGCTCTGGTCCATGGGGTCATGAAGAGTCGGACACGACTAAACTACTAAACAACAACAAATGCTATTTTGAAAGGCTAACTACTGTTGAGGTGGGAACACAGACAGAGCACCCAATATGTTTTATGCAATATGGAGGAATATTGGATAAAAAGAGTTCAAACGGATTCAGCTTTAGGAATTTTAGGTGTGTTAGGCAGCAATTTTGCAGACTCACGAGGTCTACAGATTCCATCAACCCTTCCAAGAATTCAGGCAACAAAATGTTCTGCTCTTTAAGTAACCCAACACTGTAAAAAAATAAAAAAAAATCCCACCAAACTGGCTTTCCCACTGCATGTTGCAACTATTCCAAGACCAGTGCAGAGAGGTAGAGGATCAAGCTGATGTCCTGGCAAGAATTAAGGTCTAAAAGCCTGCTGGGGCAAAAAAACCCTACTTATATTGTTAGTGTAACTATGTTATCCTGCCTCCCAGTCTTCCATCTGAGACCAGAACTTAATAACTGGTGGTCAGCAAACATCCAGTAACCACAGCTCTTTAATCTGAGCAGGCTGAAAGCAAAGAGTAAAGCTACCGTAACTTCCGTCATAGAGCTTCAGTATGCTGATGACAACATAGTGTGTGCACGCTTAGAGGATGACCAAACCATCCTAAGTATCTTCACAGAAGCTTATGAGAAGCTTGGCCTGTCACTCAACATCCAAAAAACCAAAGTGCTGCACCAACAAGTACAAAATAACCCCTTTGCAGTGCTACAAATCCAACTTAATGGTGTAACGTTGGAAAAAGTTGATCACTTCTCCTACCTGGGCAGTTATCTTTCCACAAGGGCAAACACTGATGCCGAAATCCATGATCGCCTGGGCTCTGCGAGTGCAGCTTTCTCCCGATTGAAGTGCAGCATATTTGAGAACCGGGACATTCGCAGGGAAACCAAAATGCTTGTTTACAAAGCTATTGTACTACTAACCTTACTATATGCTTGTGAAACGTGGACCACTTATAAACGCCATCTCCAATTCCTTGAAAGATTGCATCAACGGTGTCTCCAAAATTTTTTACACATCACTTGGGAAGACAGACGAACTAATATCAGTGTACTGGAAGAAGCAAAGATCACCAGTGTTGAAGCAATGATTCTTCAGTATCAACTTCGTTGGACTGGTCATGTTGTGTGGATGCCTGATGATCGTCTTCCAAAGCAACTACTCTATTCCAAACTTAAAAATGGAAAGCATAACGCTGGTGGTCAACAAAAGAGGTTTAAAGAATGTCTCAAGGCAAATCTTTAAAATTGTAGTATAAACACCAACAATTGGGAAACACTTGCCTGCGAGCGCTCCAATTGGAGAACAGCCATTAACAAAAGTGTCATGGGCTTTGAAGACACTCGAACGCAGGACGCAAGGGAGAAACGTGCTAAGAGGAAGGCATGCTTGGCAAATCCACACCGTGATCAACTCCTGCACAGAAACCAATGTCCCCACTGTGGAAGGAGATGTGGTTCCAGAATTGGCCTCCACAGTCACTTACAGACTCATTGTTAAAATCGTGTTTATGGAAGACAATCTTACTTGGCTACAAGTGATCGCTAAAGAAGAAGAAGACATGACACAGACAGGCACTCTTGCTTGAAGTCATCCTGTGTCCTAAAAGCATGCCTTCTTACCTGCATAAGAAGAAGTACATCAGAAGATGGGAGAGAAGAAAGAAACTTCCACCTAGTTTAAGGTACAAAGGGCACCTTTCTAATCAAAGTGGTCAGTACTGTGTGGGCGTGAGGACCAATGTCTCTCTGCCACCTTCACTTGAGTAGCAGGTATAGAAAAAGCACATTGGTCAGTTTTTTCTCTCTTCATCAGGCAAGCAGCATCAGTATGAGGTCACAATGGACAAGCTTTATGAGGCGGGCAGTAACTTCAAAGTGCATTGTTATGTCTGTGGGTCTGTCTGTCTCAACTTGCAGTAGGAAGAAGCCGGAAGTGGGCAACATATCTCTTTCTTACGTGCACACTGAATCAGGCAGAAGCAGGAGTGTGTGGGTACAGTCTTTTTTTCTAAAGAAGGCTGCTCATTTAGGAAGAAAAAGCCCTACTGGAAACAATGAACCCAGAATTAAAAGCAGAGAGGAGCTCAAAGCTGTAATACCCTAGTAATAATTTTGGCACACCTTCCATTCTATGCCCATCATTATCTGGGTATTGCCAAGCTGTGGCACCAAGCAAAGCCCAGTATGTGTGCCTTCCTGGAATATTTGCGATACCACTTGACCTGCAAGGGTGCTAATTGTTGTGATTCATGTTCCTCACCCCTTCCTTCTCTACTTAGCACCTTGCTTAAATTGCTACATCCCAGCCACATGGTAGGCAACTGTGAGGCAACCCTAAAACTAAAATAGTGCTTATCTTCTATTTAGTTTTAATTATTTGCCACATTTAGTTTTGGTTATTATAAAGTAATGATAAATGCATATATCTAGTGCATCACAAATGTATGTTTTGCTTGAGATTTCTAGCTCACCCAAAGCAACAGCAGAGATTGAGTTCTGATTTCATTTTGCAAGGGCCCCATTTAAAGGTTCAAGAATATGGCTTAACTGTTCATTGTTACCAGTTTGGATGTGAGCAGAAAGACTGGAGATTTTACACACACACACACACACACACACACACACACACCATTTTGTAAAAGCAAAACAAAGCAAAAAAGAAAAAGAAAAGAGCTTGCTATTGATTATACTTCTGGATTATTGCTTGCTTTTTATTCTCCAGTCAAAGCACTATCTGGCTTGTCATTGTGCGTTGCCAGTCTATTTCTCAACACACCTGGCTATTGTGCATCATACTGTGTTCTATTAAATTGTATTAAGTGTAGACATTTTACATCGCCTCCTGATTCACTTGTTCACACTAAGCTATGGTATGGCTTAACATTACATGCAAACAAGGACACTAGTATTTCTGTTCCCACCAGTATCTAGGAGAACACTAATCTTTGTAACTGTGAATCTCTGATTCACAGCAAAGGGGATGAAATTCAGCTCAGTTTGCATTTTTATTTCAACTTGCCTTATTCACACTTCCTGAAACAGCGCACAAACCAAAACACAGTTGTTCTTCAAAATCCACACTTCGTCCAATTTGGCAATGCCTTTCTGTACTCAGCACATGTATACTAGGAGAAATGTGTGTAAAAATGTATTTTAAAGTGAAAATAACACAAAAATGCATTCTATTTGTGCTAACTGCTTGCAAATCAATCAATCAATCAATCAATCAGGAGCTGTGCCCTTTAAAATGCTGATCCTCCACCCCGAAATCTTTATAAAAATTCACAAAGTGATGCAGAAATTTGAAGAGCTAAATTTAAGATTGGAAAAATGAGCAACTGAGAGAAACAGAAGTTGACAGATCCCTAGTTGGGACGGAGCTTTGCGTCACAGAGATCAGTTGAAATCCTAAAATATTTACCTAAAATGATCACATCCACACCATACATTTAAAACACATTTACAGCACACAGTTTCTCCCAAAGAATCCTGTAACAAATCATTCAAAAACTATAGGTCCCAGGATTCTTTGTGGGGTGTCACATGCTTCAAATGTGCTTTAAAAGAGATTAGCCTTAAAGCTACACAGTTTTTGATGTTCTTAAGGCTTTTCACTTCCAGCACCCTTAACTTCAGGCTGGGTTGCAGCCATTATCCTACTTCCTCAGACAAATGAATACATAGAGTGAGGTGGTTGGGGGGGAGAGAGAATGTGAACTTAGGTAAAATCTACTACTACTACTGATTTCTTTTAAAATCACATGTTTAATGTGGGTGGGGTTTTTTGTATTCTTAAACTGGTTTCACACTCTTGAACCCTGTCAAGAAGTGCCTCAGAATCCTGGATGCTATCCAAAGGACCGTAGTTTGAGCAACAATGAATATTCTTTAGTTTATATTTGCAGATATTAGGATGAAGGGTTACACACACACACATATTTACATGGGATTACTCAATTTGTTGACCAATCTTCTCTTGCGTTTTGTGTATGCTTAGGAGTCATGGTGTGGTCAGCATAAGCAAATACTTGGAGCGGATTTGCAACACACTTTTCTCAAAGCCCTGTTGAGCTTAATGTTTTGTTTAATGCCAAAGAGGAAGTAGAAATATATTTTTCCCCCATTTCACTAGCAGGTGCTCTGTAATTGTAGCTTATAAATATTTTATCAGCGTAAAGTCTAAGGGAAAGTCCCACTCTGGCCCACTCTGAAGAAGAGCAACATGATTCATGTTGAACATGAGCATCACTCTCCACCACCACCTGTATATTGCACACATAGTTGAAAGTTTGTTACTAAACATCTTGATAAAGCAGAATACATGCCTCAACATTGCAAGTCATTTTTCCCAACTAAAACACTCACTTGCACCACATGCTTGTGTGAAGTGTTCCATTCCATTTCCCAGAATGCTTCTTAAATCCTCTGAAAATAGAATAATGGTAACCATGGAGGATTCTAGCAATCAACGTGATATAAAATGACCATGGCCAGACAACCAGTAAAGCTTAAGAAATGTGTATCTCATCTGGGCCAAATATAATGAGTAGTGGTTTGTGAATTTAAAATGTGACTATTAAAAGTAAACAATTTCATTTTTATTCCAAGGTTGCATGGAACTGGATCAATTCACTCACTGGATCAATATGGACTCATATCCAGGACCATCCCACTGGCATCAGATTCTGCACCTGTCCCTTCAAAGCCTGAGGATGCACCTTTGCATGTGAATAATCAACTATTGATGCCTCTGAGGGTCAAGAAAGCCTTGTGGAGTCTCCACAAACCAAGTCCTCATAGCCCAGTCTCACCACCTAGGAGCTAACAGCTGCACCAAAGGACTTTGGCCCTTTAACTGGCATGTTGCAGCACACAGAAAGCAGGATTTCATTCATGATCCTTCGGGTCAGGCTATAAAGGTAGCGCTGAGGCAGCTCATTCCTTCTGCTCTCCATCACAGAAATGTTGCTTAACTGCTTACCCTTGTTCCTGTCCAGGGTCCTGACCTCACCCTAGCATGAAGCTGGCTCAGGAAGTCCTTCTTTCCACCATATTCCTCGGGCCTTTGCCTCAGCTTGGAAAAATAATCTAAGCTCGTCCAATTGTGAGTCGGGGAAGACTTCAAGCAATGGGAGACCTTTGTGCAAGTTGCCTTTGTGTGTCATGTACTGCAGGAGAGCTAAGCTGAATTATATATGTATGGTTGGCATAATTTACGTAGTACTTTTGCTGCAAACTTCCTTCACTTTATCCCACCAATCCTCAGTTTCCTCTTCTTCCACCTTCCCTTTTCCTGTAAATTTCCCCTGAAGTATCTTTATTGTAATTTCTGTAGTCATATACTGCATCATATGTTGCTTATATATAGGTAATACCATATACAATTTGGGCAACAACTGAGATTGCTTTAATAAATTGTTTATCTCCCATATCTTGTGTCCAAGTTAACCATTACTTTTGATCACCAAACATGGTGACTAATTCACCCCTTTACTGAACAAACAGACCTCTCTTAGTCCTGCATCAGTACTCCCCAATGTTTTCTTCCCTTGTGATGGGTTGGTATTAATGAGACTAAGTGGGTGCCAGTATGCATGAGAACTCCACTGAGGTATAACACTAGACCAGGAAAGAATACCCTCACTTGGCAAAACATGTTATTTCCAGTCCCTTGGCTTCAATGGGCAGAGCCCATCTGCAGCAAGAGGACCATGTACACATACAAGATTCCAGTAGGCTCAACAGAGGCCAGTTTTTCTCACCACCCTCTGTGTATGTGCATGTGAATATTGCATTATTAATATTGCATGTGAATATTGCATTATTAATATCTAATAATTCATTTTTGAATTGTTGTAATCCACCCTAGGACCTTACGGTGATAATAATATCAATAATACAGGCAGATGGACAAATAATCTGGAATAGGGGTTATAGATGAGGGAGAAATTCCTTTGCTTCACATAGTTATATTTATAACTGTGAATATGTGGTTTGTATTTTTTTTAAATGTATGATTGCCCACTGTGCTTTAAACATTTTTGCTCTTTTTAGGGTTTTCTTTTATTTAAAAACATGGGACAGAAATTAAATAGAACTGATTTTTAAAAAGAAAGGAGAAGCCATGTTCATTTCTCATATTAGATGAAAAGACCCATTTGGGAGGTTACAGGGTTATTTCAAAACCCGGGATACATACACTAATCTTTTAAACTTCTGCTAATAGCTGGCATCCCTTTGATCCATACATCAGGCTAAGTGAGACCAAGTGACTGGAAGAACAACACTGATCCCTTTCAAAGCACATAACAGCAGTTGGCTGAGGTTGCTTTGCTAATGACTCTCAAGGCAAATGGAGAAAAGCAGGTGTAAACTGCTGGTTGTCACCACCAGAGGGAGAAAGAGGGTACAGCATAATATACTTCCCTGTTAAAAAAAATTTGGAAAAGGATAGATGAATTTTCAGGGCAATTTTTAAATGCAAAACTGGTTCACAATTACCGCCATATTTACCCTCAAACCAGTCTGGAGACAGACAGACAGATGCAGGCCTGCAGGGATAGGTCTTTGTTTATTTCTACTGAGGAACCATGGAGAAATGCTATGCACACTGCCTTGAAAGTCAACAGGATTCCTTCCATGTACGTTGACACCTCCATTTCCCAGTAGATATTGATCAACACTTACGCAGGGCACCCAGCAAATCCATGACATAGCTGAGATTTTAAGCATGTCTCGGGCCTAGGCTTAACACACTGGGACCTTCAAGCATGGGGTATGTTGTGAGGAATTTCTCGGCTTAAATCAGATGTAATTTTACTGTTTAGTGTTGCATGACAGACCTCCCAGGATGTTTGCTGCATTCTTGGATCCGTTGTATAACTTTGCATTTGTGTTTCATCTCCTGATAAATGACCCAAAATAAATTTCAAATACACCTGCACACAACACTTCAGTTCTCATTAGCAGTACAAGTTCTGAGCATCCTCATGGAACCAGATAGTAATGCAGCAAACTCAGTGAAACCCCCCGGCTTCTGCCAGCCCTCCTGGCTGCTGTTTTCTCCTCTCCTCTCCTCTTCTTGCAACTTCTTTGAGAAAGTGTGCAGTGTAGAGAGAAGGGATTTCGGCAGCTGTGAGTGCTGGTGGCAAACGATTGTGAGCGAAATAGAGGGAGGGGCTGGGAACAGGAACATCATGTTGAGGGTCATGGGTTTCCAAACTCCAGATGATTGCTTCAGAATCCCCACTCCCCATTTCTGAAATTCACTGCCATAACTACTTGCAAGGAGTGCGGCAGACAACAAACGCTGGAATTGCAGTATAACACATCCAGTTTGAGCAGGATTTTTATGCCAAGGGTTACTCTTAAAATGGGGTTTGGGTCACTTGTAAAGTGGAACCCAAGTGTATTATGCCCCAAATGTATTCTGACAAACACTTAACTGCTTCATCATCCCTTGACGTCCATATTACTGTAATTTCTGGTTTCATTTATGGATATACAAATGGTAAAGTGCAAAAATCCAGGAAGAGGTTTTACTGCTGTAGTTTCTGAACCAAAGTAGATCTTAGTCTGATTTCCTCCTTCCTTGTGAGAAAGGGCAAAAATAAGTGTGGTTTTCTAAATAGGAGCTGAGATCAGCAGTCTAAGCTGATTATTTTTCATGATTATTTTTTGTCAGGATAAAAGTTTGTATATTTCTCTATTCTTCAGCATTCCTTGAGAAATATTAATATTTGTATTGCTTAGACATTTTATTCATGTTACCTGCTGTTATCATAGCATATCATAGCAGATAAATTTGATTGTCTATATAGTACTGACATTCAGTATGTGATCCCTGAATGGCTGGGATCGTTCATGTCACTGGTTCAGATCTAGGGGTTAAAAGTGCTGCTGAAACAATAGCAGCCAGGTGGAACAGTCGTATCAAACAACAGAGGGGGGAATCGTTAGTATTTGCACAAAATGTTTTTCAGGAAATATTGTTATCACACCAAACCTGATATTTTGACTTAATAATCAAAACTGAATAATGTAAATAATAAATTATTATTATTATTATTATTATTATTATTAAGTACACCCAAAGAGCTCATCCCCAATACACCTCCTCTCTCAGCCATGGAAGCTGGATATATTCTTTTCTTTTCTTTTCTTTTCTTTTCTTTTCTTTTCTTTTCTTTTCTTTTCTTTTCTTTTCTTTTTATAGCTCCACCTTAACTTCGAGGTTTCTGATAGAATGGATGAGATGGGAGAAGACAAGAGGTTTTGAGGTGGGATTTGTACCTTTTATCTGACCTAGTAGGGATGCATTTATATGGCAATTCATTCCATTTCCCCGACACTTTCCTAACTGTTCGTTTTCACAATATATGTGAGTTTCCACATGACATAAAAGCCACTTCTGGAAATCTAGCAAAATATAGTGGAAGTTTAGTTACCATTTCCAAATCAATTGGTTCCAGAAATAACCTGTTTGCAACCCCCGAAATCTCAGGAGCAAAGTGACACTTTTTAGGAGAGTATATCGCCATACGGTTCTTTCTGACATTTTCATGGGTGAGCCATGAGGGAAGAGAAGCACACATGTGCGGAAAGGGTGAAGGAGCAGTGATGTTGTCTAATGACGTTCATTTTTGTGTTACGCTACGCTCACAGGTGGGAATGAAATTTACATGTCAGTATATTGGTCAAAAAGTCACAGATACATAACACAACACATACTGCAGTATGAAAGGAACAGCAGAAAATGGGAAAGAAGTGCCAGCATTAAAACCAGGAAATCTAATGCAATGTTCCTCGTGTCTGAAAGCACCCTAGGTGTTCGGTGCTGTCAAAGAATATTGTTCATGAAGTACCTTTTACTTTCATACAGCTATTATGGTAAGTATAGGCCCAAACACATTGAAACTGTTTTAACTGTCAGCGCTAAAGGAATTTCCAAAACGTTTTGTTAAGTTACTGGAACAAAAGATTTTTTACCAACTCTGCGAGTCTTAAATGGTACAGCCTGTCTGTATTTAACCTTACAATACTTAGCATTCTTGTTTTGGGTACAGTGCTGGAAGGATTCATAGTAACAATTTATCAGTGAGAATGAAAGTTAAAAGGGGGAATGGGTAAATGCAACTTCACTATTTTGTGCCCAAACAGAACATTGCTTTCTCAGACATGACACATTCCACCAGCCATGCCCAACGACCCAACAAGAGTGATCCACAGAGATCTCTACTCAAGGTTTCTACTCATAGTTCTCTCATATTAAGAATACAGAAAACTGCCTGGCAGAGGAGGAATAGTATTCTTGCAGGCAGGGTGAGTCCACACAGCGGATTCAATGCTGCGTACAGTGGTACCTTGGGTTACATATGCTTCAGGTTACAGACTCCGCTAATCCAGAAATATTACCTCAGGTTAAGAACTTTGCTTCAGGATAAGAACAAAAATTGTGCTCCAGCGGCGCAGCAGCAGCAGGAGGCCCCATTAGCTAAAGTGGTGCTTCAGGTTAAGAACAGTTTCAGGTTAAGAACGGACCTACGGAACGAATTAAGTACTTAACCTGAGGCACCACTGTATTGCAAAATAATGTACTCAGTATGAAAAACACTGTCTAATCAAGTGTTCATTAGAAAAGCAATACAATACAATACAAACATTAGTCCGCCTTTGTATTTTAAAAGATGAAGAAGGTAGGGTTGCCATTTTTAGGAAACCACCGAAACTGTTTTTTAAAGAAAACCCCCCAAAAGTTTTTGAGCTTTTTTTTTGGCAGCTCTACAGAAGGTGACTGAGCTTGCAGTGCTCAATGTACCACTAAGCTCCTTTCCATTTACCTCTTTTGACATTTCATTTAATCTCCCACAGACCACATTGCTTTAAATAGTAAATGCCCACACCTAGGAATAGCTCATCTGCAAATGGAAACCCACGCAGCTTGTTTGCAAAGTACGTAGCCAGGATGGTGTAGATTAGCTTATTCAAACAGTTTTAGTTGCTTTATTGATTGATTAAATTCCAGGCAAAGAGTGTCCCTACTCCCTAGGCTTTTTTGGAATCCATCACATTACAGTCATGCTTTCTTGCAGAGGATAACTTCAGCAAACAAATAGCAGAATAACATTGTCTCCTTCACTGATGCTGTTGAAAGCAGGTGGGGCATTTTATATTCTGTACTCTTCTAGCATATAGTGGGCTCAGCATTTAAAGAGCCATCTTGATAGGAACAGAACTACATGCAGAGGGAAAGGAAAACCCTTCCCTGTATGAACTGAAACGTTTACTCTGCAGATAATGAACTTCATGTTATGAGGAGATGGAGCAGAACAGGTTGACTAGAGAAACAACACTAGTCTCATAAGCATTTGACTCTTCTTAGTCAGGGATGGAAGACTAAAATTAATGCAGGCTAGAGGCTACAGTACACAAAATCAGAAAATCTGCTGAGCATCTAAATCACCCGAGCCAGGGACAAACAAATCGTTCAGCACAGAGAAACACAATGGAAATGTCTCACGATATGAAAGTTTGTATCCATGTTTTTATCACATAATTAAAATACACCACATGAATGTGATTAATGCCGAGGCAAAGTTGAATCTCACATACTCCATGGTATTTGCATATTTGCTGATGCAGGTCTAATTGTCCTTCCACATAAGGGATGCAAGGGAATAGAATGCACTAGTTCAGCATGTATATCCCCCAATCAGCCCATCAATGCTCTGTATGATATTGGACCAATGGTGGCAAGTTCCTGAGCCACCACTTCATGGCCAGCATGGGCTAGGCCATCCACTTCAGTCCTTGTCCATTATTTATTTATTTCCCTGGTTTCTGGTCCACCTTTAAATCCCAAAGGTAGGATTCATAAATAATAAAATCTAATTACATTAGGGCTGCCTATTTCAGGCTTCTGCAACCCAGATCCTGTTAGATCATTTTCAGGCGTGGGAATACAGGATCTAAACAGACGAGTCTTCAAACCCTGCCTTGCTTAACCTCACACACTGTATGCCACACAGGAGAGGCATTTGGAATATCTGAGAAATCCAAACAAATTTTTGAAATCCTGCTGAGCGAGCTTTTGGCTGAAATTGCTCTTCTGTTTTCCAGTACCTTTCTGCAAAGCTTGAATGCGGAGCACTTGTTATATACTAGCCCACAGTAAGTCTCAGAAGCTTCCACCCCTCTCCCAATACTGGATTTGGATTTGATATCCCGCCTTTCACTCCCTTTAAGGAGTCTCAAAGTGGCTAACATTCTCCTTTCCCTTCCGCCCCTACAACAAACACTCTGTGAGGTGAGTGGGGCTGAGAGACTTCAAAGAAGTGTGACTGGCCCAAGGTCACCCAGCAGCTGCATGTGGAGGAGCGGAGACGCGAACCCGGTTCCCCAGATTGCGAGACTACCGCTCTTAACCACTACACCACACTGGCTCTCTATTGCACCAGGAGTACATGCATACATACGACGTTTTATTTGCATGCCGTCTTTCCATAGTTAAAACCATGTTCAAGGCGGCTTACAACATGAAAAAATTACATAATTAACAAACATAACAAAAGTAGTCATAAACAATCAATAAAATATCAAAAGTACACAACCAATTGAACAATTACCACATTAATCATAATAAGACTTAAAATAAAGATACAAATAATTACTATTAATAACAGCAACAACCCCCACCAACAACCACCTCCAAACAACACCCCAACCCTAGAGTCTGTTTGACAGCTTCAGCTTTTGTAGTTGGAGTCTGTCAGGGCCCCACTCTCCCAGGCATGGAGCAGGTCTCCCAGGAGTCACAACCATGAGTAGACACTGGAGCACCACTTAGATCCCCATTTCATATTTGGGCATGACGGAATCACTTCACTCTTGGCTGCATGGCATTTTTGCACCCAATGAAAGGTGTTTGTGCTGAGTCTTTGTGGATTGAGAATATACACCTTCATCCAGGAATGTCAAACAGTACTAGGAATGTAGGTGTCAGGCTTTGGGGAATAGGCTCCCCCCGCCCCCGTGGCAGTAGATAAGAAGATCAAAGAAATGAACGTCTTACTAGTTAGAAACTAGAGTGAGAGAACAAAGAACACATCTTCTAGAAATGGCGGTGCTCCCAATTAAGGATCACACCTCTTTCCGTCCCTATTAATCTACATCACTCCTACATCTTGTAATCTGAGTTTGTAACCTCTTTGCTTTCTATTCTGAGACTTTCTGAGCTCTTTGGGACTTTGAGGAGATCAGAGGAATGCTGTCCAACGACTGTGAATCTGTTAACCCTCTCTCTTCCAGTGTTTCTTCTCATAGCTGTTCCCCATCCAGTATTTCCCAGCTTCTGCCTTCTGAACTATGCCTCTCTGCAAACCACTGTTCCAAATCTATACTGTTCTCCTGCTCCTGGGAAGATTCAGGAGCAGGGGCAGGAGCAGGGGGAAGTGGGTGGCTCCCACCATTCCTCCTCAGTGCAGCCCTCCCCAGCACGGTCCCTGGCAGTAGGATGCTGCCTTACACCAAGTCAGACCATTGGCCCATCTAGACCAGAAGTGTCTTCACTGACTGGGAGTAGCTGTCAGAAAGACATCAGTCCTTCCTGGAGGTGCTGCAGATTGAAGCTGGGAACTTCTGCATCGAAAGCAGGTGGTCTATCACTGAGCTACAGCCCTTCCCCAATTAAACACTTGCTGATAAGTCTGCCAGCTCCCTGTTCTGCCAAGGAACACTGCAGAGTCAGGAAGATTGCCCTCTCTATTGATCCTCCTAGGCAGCCTCCGCAGCCGCTCCTGGTGTTCAAGCTTGCCTGCCCACCTCCCCTCTGGTGATGCTTGCCTCTCTTCTTCCACCCCAGCCTTTCCCATGGCTTAAGGCAGTCTCCGACACTAGGGCTATGTCAAGATGTGAAAACCCCATTGCTGTGATCCCTGCACATCACTTGATGGCCTGCCCATGTTATCAGTTGGTTGGGCCAACAGCATCACCATACTGATAAAAGGCAAAAGATTTATGCGATCTGAAGAGAAACCAGAGTATGCATCACCATACTGGTGAAAGGGCAAAGGTTGCCCAATTCCTAATCAGTTTATTTATAAAAAAATGAAATGAAATGAAACCTACGTTTCACAGCATTTTAACCAACATGTGGCAAGGCATTTTGTACTTCCTGTGAGATATTACTAACCTTTGCCTCGGGTTACGAACATAAAACGTGAATGTGTCAAAACATATTTTCTCTGCAGCTGAGTATTTATATAGTCTTTGGAGTCTACATAACCTTTCCATAAATACATACCAACAGCTTTCTAGGTACATAAATCCCAGATTGTCAAATGAGGACAGTTATTCAGCCTCTTGGCTATCTTCCTTCTACAAATAGGTTTCTCACAAACATGTTACAAAACTGGTATGTCTATGAGCTTTAAATTTAATGGGTGCATGTCTTTATCATACTGTCTACAGATCAATTCAGACTGGAATTAAGTGAAGCCAGAGAAACATAGAATTCTCCTACGGATAGAAAAAACATACAGACAGAAGAAACAGGAACAAATCAAGTGAGCAAAAGTTCTCTGGAAATAATGGCTCTGACTTTTGCCATTGAAGTGGATATCCTTCCACATTGTAAATAGAATTGCTGTTTTTATTTCTTACTCAGTTTGGGTGGCTTCCTTATGCATGTGAGATCTCTGTTGCTTCTACACATGCAAGAGTTTCTTCATTCACTTAAAGAAGGTGCAGCTCAGCATATATATTCCTTCTATAAACACAATTATCCCCTATTTAAGTGAACAGAGGAAGTCTGATTGGGTGGGGTCTTCACATAATGTAAGGAGCCAGCAGTTTGGAGTCAAAGAATCAGAGAGCAAAGCACAGGCACTACTAGGACAGCTCACAGGGGCAGGGACTGACTAGTCACAACATTGTCCCCCTGACATTGGCAGGAAGAGAAATCACAGCTAGTCAGTCCAAGAAGAATCACAATACCTAGGAAGCCAGCAGGGATTCTACCAATCTTCTATAAGATCTCTTCTACTCTTTGATCTAGTGTTGGGGAAATGTCCATGAGAGAATGCAGCCCTGGCATTTGTCTGCTATTCCATCATTCACCATGGCCTGCCTCTGATCCACATCTGCCTGGTGTGGTATCTGGCTTACCAGCCCCTCACAATGTGTTCTGTACCTGGTTGTTTCAAAACCTGACCACCTTCAAACTCCTGACGTTCCACTTTGCCTCTGTCTGATTCCATTCTGGTGCCACCTGCCTCTCTTAGCTTCAGGCAGGCTCCAACTCTAAGGCTACAACAAAATGTCAAAACCTTATGGCTATGAGCACCACATATTTTTAGACCTCCATGTGTTGAGCAGAAAGGTCTGCACAGGGTTTCTAAGCATGTTCTGCTGAATATGCTTAGAAACTTCCCTTCAACCAGACACCCCAACTAATTAGGGCTTCTGATTGCAAGGAGGTTTCCAAGCAGGTTCCATTGAACTTAGTAACTCTGTATAGGAATTTATGCTAAATATGAGACTGCATGCCTGGGGCCCCTGTCCCATCCCGTTTTCAGCCCACACACATTTCAACCCCCAACACCTAATTGAGGCTCTAGCTTCCTGCTTACCAGTATAATTTCAAAAGATATCAAGAAGATCTTAAACAGCCACATTTTCTTGGAATGTCCCAAACCCAGAACAAAGTTATACTGAGAAAGAGATAAGGCACTAACAAGGCTAGTGTAGACGGCTAATCTTGATGTGTGAATGAGTCAACAGCAGTCACACGTCTTTGCGTTTCAAATAGCTGTTCACCATGCTTTAACTGCTTTTTGTCTAGCCAGCCAAGAGAAAAGCTCATTCTCCATAGGTCCATTATATTCAGTTTAAGCAGTTGTATTTCTGTTCCTGAACCTTTTGCAGAGTATGCATCATAAAAAGTCCTCTATGCCACCTACACATACACTTAAGGTGACTTGCAACAAATTAAAAACAACACCAGAGCCCTGTGCTTTCAGATCAACTGTTCAACATCCTGTTTCCCACACTGATGATCCAGATGACTCTGGGAAATCCACAAGCAAAATGTGAGGCTCTACCCTTCTCCTATTGTACGGTAGTTCTCCAGCTATTGAAATTAAGAGGCAAGCTGCCTCCAATCTGGATAGCCCCATAGCTATCATGACTAGTAGCCATTGACAGCTTTTCTTCGGTGCATTTGCCTAATTCCATTTTAACACTGACTAAACTGGCACCCATCACCATGTCTTATGCTAGCAAAATCCATAACCACTCCCTTTGGTTTGTCCTGAATCTTCAACCATTTTATTTTAAAGTGTATGTCTTGGGGGGGGCAGAAGGAGACCATGGTTCCACTAGCACATGGGTAGGCAAACTAAGGCCCGTGGGCCGGATGCAGCCCAATCACCTCCTAAATCTGGCTCGTGGACGGTCTGGGAATCAGCGTGTTTTTACATGAGTAGAATGTGTGCTTTTATTTAAAATGCATCTCTGGGTTATTTGTGGGGCATAGGAATTTGTTCATTATTTTTTTTCAAAATATAGTCCGGCCCCCCGCAAGGTCTGAGGGACAGTGGACTGGCCTCCTGCTGAAAAAGTTTGCTGACCCCTGCAGAGGTTCCGGGTGTTGCAATGCCACTTCCTCAGATTGGAGAAGTCCTGGCAGAATGAGATTCTCCTACACTGAAGCTTCTGACGCAGTGGGGATTTCCCAGGCCACCTCTCAGAGCAAGTCCCTCTTTTCATCTCCAGTTCCAGTTAACAATTGATAAGCTCCTTTGTTCTTTGGCTCCTGACCTGCTTTCTTAAGTGTTTGACCAATATGTGAGTTTCAAGGGGTTTGCGCTAGAATCTCTAAGGAAGGGTGCTGAAATGTGGTAAATATATTGTAATTGAATACGGAAATAAAAAGACTGGTAAGACTGTTGGTTGTAAGAATAAAATTAAGGTTTATTACTCAAAGTAAACAAAGGCATTCTGAGTGCAGGGTTTACTGTGGACTGTATGGGGCCAAGATGTTCACACTAACACATGCTAACTCATACTGACTAGCTGTAGCTAATTAAACTTTGAGAAGCTGCGGGAGTGAAGAAAAAGTCTGAAGGACATAATTACTTTACCAGCAAGTAGTACCTAAAAGAGAAGGAATCAGTGAGGAGGCAGAACTTTCTGTCTATCCCCCACCTTCACACCCCCACCTTCACACTCACACACACACACACACACACACACACACACACTGGTTCAGGTAATTAATTGCAAATGTTATTGCTTCACTCCCCAAAAAGGGGAATCAGGCCATGAGGTCATGATACCACCCTAAGGTGCTGGCCCACCCGTGAGGCAAGATGAGGTGACCACCTCAGGTAGCAGGATCCACAGGGACAGAAGATCCCAATGTAGATCTTTATTCCCCCCATGTTCCTGATGTAGGTCTTCACTCACCCCTTCTTCCCTGGCAGAAAGTGAGGAACCATTTTGTGGTTCGCCTCAGTCACCAAAATGTCTTGGGCCAGCCCTGCATTTGGATTGCCTTCTCCATGAATAATAAGTCAGGCAGAATCCTAGAAATGAAGGCCTGGGAGAGGCTTGCCTTTCAGTGTACCTCTCTACCAAGAGGCAGGACTACTGACTCTCCCTGCTAGTACATCTCAAAGAGCAGAGGAGAGGACACGGGGGAGGGGGGAGTCCTTATAGAGTGAATGGCTTAAGATTGTTCATGAAGGTAAGGCTGTGGTTGCAGATATCAGAAACGGCTGCTAATTCTTTTGCCTTGGAAATGTAGCACTGCATTTTTCCACAAGTAGTATTTTTCCTGTAGTTTACATACTGTTAATTTCTACTTGAGTCCCACTGCTTTTAAACAAGAAAACAAGATTCATGGGCCTAGGTCATGGCTCTGAAGTCAATCATAGGTAAGATATAATAACAACCAGACATAGCTGGAGGCATTAAAAGTAGCTCAGCAGGTTTTCTGAAAGATATACCACTGCTTGAATGTACATGATGATTTATGTCAACGTGAACTGTGACTGCCTTTGCAGTTTTGTCCAGTTTAATCCAGGATGACAGTTCAGATATTTCTTCAGAAACGTCCGGAAGAACAACTATTACTGACTGATCTTATTTCTTAGAGAACTTATTTGTGTTCCTTAGGTGATTCTATTTTTTTTTTTTTTTACTACATTTCTGGTTGATGGGATGGACTTACATGCTCTTTTACTTTTTTGGTTGTGCGGTGAAAGTAAGAGATTAGTAGATTCTTGTAGATTTGTGATTTTAACTGATTAGTCAGCAAACCAAAAGAAAACATTTTGATTACTTAAGTATTTTTTTTAAAAAATATGACAAATGTTTAAAATGATGGCCTTCTCCCACACATATAGGAACACAGGAAGCTGCCTTAGAGTGAGTTGGGTCTTTGGTTCAGCTAACTCAGTTTTCTACTCTACACTGACTGGCAGCCACACTCCATGCTTTCAGGCAGGAGTCTTTCCCTGCCCCATCTGGAGATACAACACAGGGATGAAGGCTACTTCTAAAATGATTCCACCATGTGGCTGCAAGCACCCTTGCAAGATCACACAGCCCATTGAGTTTAATGAGTTCTACTACTGAGTAACTTCTGAGTAAAGGTGCCTTCTAGTTTGCAGCAAGGGACACGGGTGGCACTGTGGTCTAAACCACTGAGCCTCTTGGGCTTGCCGATCAGAAGGTCGGCGGTTCGAATCCCCGTGACGGGGTGAGCTCCCGTTGCTCAGTCCCAGCTCCTGCCAACCTAGCAGTTCGAAAGCACGCCAAAAAGTGCAAGTAGATAAATAGGTACTGCTGTGGTGGGAAGGTAAACAGTGTTTCCGTGCGCAGTATTGGCCCTAGGGTTGAGGGCCCCTGAGCCCCTTAAAGGTCTGAAAGCAACTTGGACATAAATTTACCCTTTATTCTTTACATGAATAGAACAGCATTTAATGTGATTGGCTATAGACCACAGCAGAATGATTATATACCCAAAGTTGCAATGAAAGCATAGATAAATGTATCGTAGTACATTCCTTGTGGTCAATTTTTATTACAACTGGAATGGAGACTAATGTATTAATAGTCAACACACTGCAAATACACGAATGCAAGTCATAAACAAAACTGAAACAAGCCATTACCTCTCCTATGTAAACAGAAATAGCAAAACAACAATACAAAACCCTAAAAAATTGCTATCATGTACAGGAAAAAAGGCATAAGGACAGCTCCCGACCAAGGAAGTTGGTGTGGATGGACCTGTCTTAAATGGGGAAAGGACTTCTATCTGTTTTTGTAGGGAAGGGCTTGTTTGCTTGCAATCCTACTGAGTTAAAGATAAGGCAGTCTGAGAATGACTGACTTTAAAAGCAGCAAGCAGACTTTAGTACAAGACTCCGTCCTCTAAATTGTGGGGTGCCAGGTCATTGCTCAATTTGCCCCATCCTTAAAGTTGCCATAAGGGGTTTTAATAAGGGGTGGTTCTTTATTGATTGGTTGGCACTGCCTGCTTGGTTAGTGGTGAATGATTTTGGCAACTTGACTATGTTTAGCTAGATATTCTATAGTGGATTAGATAGGGCCATTATTATACACTCTATTGTTTCTGGTTTGCCGTTGGATTTTTTGGCACTCTGGATAATGTCTGACAATATATTCAATATTGAATAAGATAGGGCAGCTATTCTACTGTTTCTGGTTTATCTTTGCATTTTTGCCAGCTGATTATGTCTAACAAAATATTCTTTGCTGGATAAGATAGGGCAACTGCAATGCAGTCTATTCTTTCTAGTTCTTTGTATTTCCTACAAGTGTTGGTGTCCACCTTTGACTTCTGACTTGCTCAAAAACAAATCAAGCTGCTACATGTGTTCCCGCAGTGTTTGATGGAACACTTGTTGCATGTCAAAGCTGCCTGCAATGCCAGACATTACCGTGGGCTAGGATGAAGAGATGGATGTAAAGTTGGGCAAGCTTAAAGGGGATATTGCCAGTGGGTTTGTGTTTTTATATGGGAATGGAGCTGTAAGTTGGACTAGTCATAAACAAAATTCAGTAGCTAACTCTTCAACAGAAGCAGAGTATGTCTCTGCTGCAGAAGCAGGGAAAGAAGCACAATGGCTTAACCAGATTTGAGAGGATCTGGGAATGCCGGATTCTAAACCCCTTAAGCTTATGGAAGACAATCAGAGTTGTCTGAAATTGGTGCAATCAGAGAAGATAAATACACATTCTAAGCAAGCAGACAAAATGTTACACAATAAGCGATTTGAGCCAGAAGGGATTTATTGAAATGCAGTATTGTCCAACAATGGAAATGACAGCTGATATTTTAACAAAGCCTTTGTCAAAAGAAAGTTTTGAGAAGTTACGTGCTAAATTAAATTTGATTAATTCAAATTAGGACATGGGTGGCGCTGTGGTTTAAACCACTGTGCCACTTGGACTTGCTGATCAGAAGGTTGGTGTTTCGAGGCCCCACGACAGGGTGAGCTCCCGTTGTTCGGTCCCAGCTTCTGGCAACCTAGAATTCGGAAGTATGCAGTGCAAGTAGATAAATAGGTACCGCTCCGGTGGGAAGGTAAATGGTGTTTCCGTGCACTGCTCTGGCTTCGCCAGAAGTGGCTTAGTCCTGCTGGCCACATGAACCGGAAAAACTGTCTGCAGAAGCGGACAAACACCAGCTCCCTCGGTCTTTAGAGCGAAATGAGCGCCACAACCCCAGAGTCGTTCATGACTGGACTTAACTGTCAGGGGTACCTTTACCTTTACTTTTTTAAGCAAGCAGACAAAATGTTACACAATAAGAGATTTGAGCCAGAAGGGATTTATTGAAATGCAGCATTGTCCAACAATGGAAATGACAGCTGATATTTTAACAAAGCCTTTGTCAAAAGAAAGTTTTGAGAAGTTACGTGCTAAATTAAATTTGATTAATTCAAATTAGGCACAGTGAGAAGGGAATTGTAAGAAAAACACTAATTTGATCAGTAAAATGTCTGGCATCTGGTAGCTGGGGCTTTTGTGTTGTGCTCTGGAATTGGCCTCTCCCTTTGGGTGTTCAGTTCAGTTACAGAGACCAGCAGTCATTCTTGCCACATTCTTGCCTCTTGATGTTGTTTTCGTTTTCCTCAGATAATATGTTATTGTGTTACAATCAGGGGTGCCAATTTGGGTCCCAGGTTATGGGTGCCCAATGGCACCTACGACATAACATGATGTCATGACGTTGTGACATCATTACGTCAAGTTACATCAACATCATGCAGCAGCACTTCTGAGGCCTGGCAGGACCTCCGACACAGCTTTTGGTAGAAACTGGAAGTTGCACTGGAGCCTGCATTGTGGGTGCTGAGCATCCACAAAAAAATAATAATTGTGGGTGTCCAGGCCCCCAGGGCCCCCTATCATTGACACCTATGGTTACAATTTTCTTTATTATTAAAGTTTTGTTTGACATGTTATGTGAGCTGCTTACTTTGCTAAAAGAAAAGGAATTCTGCTGAAGAATGGTGGAATATCCTTAACTGGGTGAGTGAGGGGATATTCCCAGTCTGACAGGAGGATTGATTTTTTAATCACCCCCCTCATCCACAACAGTTCTTGCATTTGAAGTTGCAACTGCGCTGGTTACGAAGTTTCAGCCTTCCTGGGGTAAATTCCCATGGCCATTTCCTCCTGCTTGAAGTCAATATGAGTTGAATACTTAATTGAGTTTGTTCATTGTTGAACAAAACTTGCAAGTGGTTCAACAATTACTCAGATTGTGAGTCAAACTATGTGGTTGCAACCTTTTCAGTAAAAGTTTGATCCCAGATCTCCCCAGCTTTAATATGACATGTGATATCAGGAAAAGGGATTCAATAAAAAATATCATTTGTAAAGTATACACACACACTAAAATTCTACCCACTTGTCTACAACTATATAATTAAGAAGATCTTGTTTCATACAAGGGGTACAAACAACACAAATATGCCTAATGAATAAGAGAAAGATTGTTCCATAGTGGTATGGAGTTATGGAACACAGAAACCTGGTAGCCATAGTTACCTTCTGCTGTTTGTCCAGCAGAGAGATTGGATGGACACACACACAACCCTAATCTCTGAGTGGTGTGATATTGCAGAGATTGTGGGTGCTTACCCAGGGTTTGTGTTTCCTTTGGAATAAGGCACAGCAGAGAATGTGTGTTGTATACATGGTTTATTTACACACATATATAACCTCAGCCTACAATGGAGGGGTTCACAGCGTCAACGCCCCAAGATGGTCTTATTTCTCCCATGGCCACATCATTGGATTTAATGGCCTGTCACCCAGGTGATCACCTCATCAGGAAGCCAACCAGGCTTATATTTTAACACTGGCTGGATCCGGGGGTTAGAAGGGTCTTGGTGTACAGCCTACTGCCTCCCACAAAACCCCCCATAAAACACACACACACACACACACACACACACACACACACACACAATCTGTACTTTTTCCAAGGAAGTCAGGGTGACATAGATGGCTCACTCCTCCTTTTTTATCCTCAAAACAATTGTGTGATGTAGGATAGGCTGAGAAACTCAAATATGTAGGTTAAGCTGAAATGTTGATCCCATATCATCCAGTGAGCTTCATGACTGAATTGGGATTTGTATTTTGGCCACTCTCTACCCTGGTGCAACCTTTGGCAACTTAGTGCTCTACATATGATTTGGACTACAATTCCCATCACCCCTAGCCAGTATGGGCATGCTGATAGGAGCTGTAGTTCAAGATATCTGGAAGGTGCCAGGTAGGGGAAAGCTGCTCTAGCAACTAGACCACACTAACTCTCAAATGACAGTAGACTGAAAGTGAAATCTGTTGCTTATCATCAATCATTAAACACTAAACCTTTGAAACAGTAACATCATTACATCCTATTAGCATCTTTGGTTTTTCTGCACTGGAGACAAAGACCAAGGCTGCACTTATCAACCCAGAACTTCCTTTCTCTGTAGAAACATGGGAAAAGTCAACACACTATGATTGCAGGGTAAACACTTACTGGTAATACATAGGTTTCCTGATAATTCATCTGAAAGCATTTAAATTAACTTAAAGGTAAAGTAAAGGTACCCCTGCCCGTATGGGCCAGTCTTGACAAACTCTAGGGTTGTGCGCCCATCTCACTTAAGAGGCCGGGGGCCAGCGCTGTCCGGAGACACTTCCGGGTCACGTGGCCAGCGTGACAAAGCTGCATCTGGCGAGCCAGCGCACCACACAGAAACGCCGTTTACCTTCCCGCTAGTAAGCGGTCCCTATTTATCTACTTGCACCCGGAGGTGCTTTCGAACTGCTAGGTTGGCAGGCGCTGGGACCGAGCAATGGGAGCGCACCCTGCCGCGGGGATTCGAACCGCCGACCTTTCGATCGGCAAGCCCTAGGCGCTGAGGCTTTTACCCACAGCGCCACCCGCGTCCCTTTAAATTAACTTACTATTTGCCAAATGCTTAGAATCTATACTGTTAGCTCGCCAAGATGTATCACCCAGTTGCTGTAGGCAGAAATGGCCAATTTTGTACCTCATCCCCGCCCCCAAAAGCCCCACTGCAGAGTGAAAGGGAGTAGCTACCACTACTACCCACACAAATTGGTTCTCTGCTGCATTCTGGCAAATGGTTATCAGGAAAATAGCAATATCTATTGGCGTTATCTTATGTGTGTTCACAAGCTACTAATGGCTCAGCACAACTCTTCTTTGTAAGGAACAATGACTGTTCAGCTTATCAATATATACAACATGACCACCTGGGCTTCTGGTTTTGAGACTTATCAAAGATTACCCTAAATATATATTTGTACTAACATACAGCTCTCAAAGCCATATTACACACACAGAGGATGAAAGGGCTCACAAGCCCTAAGCCAACAAATTGAGAGAAGTACATTCATGCTGTCATTAAGATATATGCACACAGATTTGATCCAATATTAGAGTGAGGCATCCTGGGCAAAGTAGCTGGGAAAGCACCTGCACCACCACCAATTTTTGTTGCTGGGATTTCCTTTCCTCCCCCACTCTAAGCTTAAACAGCTCTTCAAGCTGTTGTGGCAAATCACAATGGTACTCTCCTTGATGACTCAAAGTGCTGGGTTTGACCTATAAAGCCTTAAATGGCTGAGAACCACAAGATTTCAAGGACTTCCTCTCCATATGAACTGACCTGCAATCATCATCTGAGGCCCTTTTCATCTGCCTCCCCCATGAGAGGTCCAGAAGGTGGCAACACAAGAATGGACCTTTTCTGTGATGTCCCTCTGATTGTGGAATGTTCTCTCCAAGGAGGTAATGCTTAAGGAACTGCAGTCTTTCACCTAAAAAAAAAAGAAAAAAAGAGAAAAGAACACCTCCCAAAAAGAACAACAACCCAGGTCTCCCTAGGGACTATGCTGCTGGGAGGTTTGAACTGTTATAGAACTGTTTTGATAACTGGGCACTGTGGATTGAAGTGGGGTATCATTGGAGGCACCAGTGAACTGGAGCACTGTGTGTTAACTGTACATGTGCTCCTCTTGCAATTTGTGAAATGACAACTGCCATTTTTCAAGGAGTCTTATGAGTGATGGCCATTCCATCTCCCTCCTCTGGTGAAACCAACAATGAGCATTTCCACAGAATTCCCACAGTCAGTCTACCAGTAGCCTCAAATGCTTCAGTGGGCAGTCACTTGGGGGGGTTGCCAAATATTTTCACTTGTCTGAATCTCTGACATTCTTTCCACCACCACCATTTGTTTAGTCTGCACCTAGAAGGAAGTCTCATCACAGTTCTGATTCTCACTTTATCTGGCAAGAATCGTACGACAGAGGACCTCAGCTAGAGAAGAATGAAGATAAATGAACATTGGTGCCAAAATTCCAGGACATGCCCATGTGTATTGTAGGCTGCATCATATCCTTGTTTAATATTGTTGTTAGTACTCATGGCTTCACACGGGCACAACTTAGTAAAAACACCATTCTGATGTCAGACATCAAGGGGAATTTCCTTCTATTACGTTCAGCAAAAAAGGAAAGGAGGTGGTCTTTCATAACTGATATTAATAACTAACTGATGTTACAACACAAGGAAACAATCCACATTTGCATGAGTCATAAATGATCAGAAAGAGAGAGAAATACGTCTGTCTGTCACATCTATTTGAAATATAATCTGATCTGCAAACAAAAGTGCTAAGAATACCAAGATGAGTCAATTTAAGGCCAGAGCTTCTTTCATTTTGAACTTTGTGTATTTGGGAAAATGCACAGAAAGAGCCTAGAAGTGCGTTGCTGAGTATTCATATGAAGTTTGTAGTCAAAAGTCATGGTCATGAGTCTAGGTTCCACAAATCCCCGTTCTGGGTGTATGCACACTGCAATACTCAAATCTATTGTTTGGAATGGAAAGCCTGTTCAATGCACACTTCTTATACAGTGGTGCCTCGCAAGACGAAATTAATCCGTTCCGCGAGTCTCTTCGTCTTGCGGTTTTTTCGTCTTGCGAAGCACGGCTATTAGCGGCTTAGCGGCTATTAGCGGCTTAGCGGCTATGCGGCTTAGCGGCTTAGTGGCTATTAACGGCTTAGCGGCTTTAAGGAAAAGGAAACAAACTCGCAAGAACTCGCAAGACGTTTCGTCTTGCGAAGCAAGCCCATAGGGAAATTCATCTTGCGGAACGACTCAAAAAACCGAAAACTCTTTCGTCTAGCGAGTTTTTCGTCTTGCAAGGCATTCGTCTTGCGGGGCACCACTGTATCTCCCACGAATCTTTCTTGGTAGCTGAAGACAAGTTATATGAACACAGAATTTTATGATATCAGTTGAAACATGCTAGGGCTCTTGACCTGGATGGGACCTTCTCTCTGCTACTTGGCTGCACTTTCCATTACATAAACCACCCATAGAGAGGAGCAGAGAGGGTCCTGTCCAGGAAGCCATGGGCTCAAGCTGCAGAGAACCCCCAAAGTCACTTGTGCATGCCTGACATATCCAGGGCATTTGGGCATTTTGAGCACTGCAGCTTTCATTATGTTTGGATGAGCCAGACATGCACAGGAGTCTCCAATGCCTCTCTAGAGCACATGCCCCTCCTCGTCTGGTAAGTAATGCAGAGTAGAGATTGGTAGAGAAAGTCCTATCCAAATTGGGAAGGGCAGTTTACAGGGAAGCGTCTAGCCTTTGACATATTCCCACTGACATAATTAGGCCTTCTTGGCACAGAATTGATTTCTTTTAAAAAGTGATTAATTTTGACCATCCTACATTTTAATGGATCTATTATCATTGGTCACAGGGAAACCATCTATTGCCAATTAATCCATTATTTCAGCTCATTAATCCAGAATTACAATTTATTCCATACTTGGGCCACTAATCACTTTGCCTATAAGCAGGCATTTAAAGACTAACCCCCCTCCCTGTTTTACCATTGCACTTGTAAATGCAACAACTTACTTTTTAAAACTGCTAAGGGGAAAATAATTTATGGCACCTGAAACTTTGTGTGTATTTTGCAAAGCATGAAGGAACCAAGCCATTAAAGGTCTTATAGATTTTCTCTTGTTTTTCAAAACCAAACCTTGAGTTATGACTTGGGGGAAATGGGGAACCATTACCTAATGAATCTAGACTTTGAAAAATATTATTCCCTTGTAGTTTTATTTTGCTTGAATAGGTCTCATATAGTGATGTACATTGAGCAGGTTTGTAACGGACTGCAGGGGGAATAGAAATGTAAGTTTTGTAGTTAAAAAAGCATGCACACATCAGAAGTGCATTATATCTAGTCAATTTTGTTGAATCTTTCTCATTGTGGCATGCTGTTTAAAAAATGATCTAGGGCTCTCAGAAATATTACCAAAAGGAGAAATCAAATTTTGAAATACAAGTCAGGGTTCAAAGAGCTGTGAACCAAGGGTAGCTTTGGCTAAGTGGAAATTCAAAACTGAGAGTTGCTGGTTTCCCCCCAAAACTAGCTTGCAATGTGGTATGTGAGCTGACTGTGTACATGAAGAAGTCAAAAGAATTCTGGCATAATTCTGGCAAAATTCTCAAGCTCTTTGCTTGAGCCTCTTTGGTTCCTGTCCTCTGAGACCAATGAAGGCAAATTTGGTGAAGTTAATGAGGGAGAACTTCATTGAAGCAGTTCATTGTCAATGTTTGTTCAAAAATTGGCACTGCTTGTATGCTGTGAGAGCAAAGGAGTAAAGTGGCATTGTAAACATTTGATCAGTGATGATAGTTGTGTTTATATTTCTTAAATTAAAAACACAAGACTGCACGCACACAATAAAAATCACCCTTAATCTTCATGAAATTTGTGGAGTTCAAAGCTTCCCACTGACACACTTTTCATTGCAAAATTCACACATAATTTTGTGTACAGGGTAGTCCTTCTTGGGTGTTGTTACAAATTGTCCCTCACAATGCTCCCAAATTTCAATCAGCTGCCACTTGCTATTTTTCTTATGGAAACAAAAAAATCACTTGTAGCCTTAAATGTCCTAGAAATGCATTGAATTTTGCTATTGGGTTGTGTCTACTACCCTAGTCAATCGTAGGAAATAAGGGTAGTAAAATGCATCATCATTTTTAAATAGACGAATGGTTTGGGAATGGTCAAGAAAGTTTTTTAGCTGTCAGTAGGTTGCCACAAACCACCAAGGACAGCTTTCTTGCAGGTTTCTTAATGAGGTAAGAAAAACATCTCACAAAACGTTAATTTTAGTGAATGTTAGGTATCATTAGTTCTCAGCTGTAACAAAGTGTTTTCTAGACAGTTTACAACAGGCATAGGCAAACTTGGCCCTCCAGATGTTTTGGGGATACAACTCCCATCATCCATGACCACTGGTCCTGTTAGCTAGGGATAATGGGAGTTGCAGTCCCAAAACATCTGGAGGGCCGAGGTTGCCTGTGCCTGGTTTACAATATTTTCAGGACATTCTTTAGTTTAAAAGTTTTTGTTGTTTGTAACTGAAAATGAGCCGCCATATAGTGGAAATCTCATTGGGGTTGAGAGTCCACCATCTCCTGTGAGATAGGTTAGGCTGAGAGGCTGTGACTGGCCCAAGGTCACCCAGTGAGTTTTCTGGCTGAGCAGGAATTCAAACGTTGGTCTCCCAGGTCCTAGACCAACACTCTAACAACTAATTGCACCTTACTAGCTTCCTTTGTGCATCCCATTGTTTTCTGTTTATTTCCATGACACTTTCCAAACTTCAGGAAGTCTGATTCTTTTCCAAAGTAGATTTGTGCTGCTAGGTGAGGGCAACAGAACCTTTAATGCAGTTTAACTGGGCAAATGGAAAGTTCCAGTATGTGCAAGAATACCTCCTGTGAAATACTGACCATCTGGAGTCACCCTCCCTGAATTCATTAAGAGGCAGTCAGTGAGGATTTTCCATCAAACACAGTAACATAACACAAATTAAAAAGGGGCAAAAGTTGAGCGCCATGGGGGGAAAGTTTCAGAAGACAGAAAAGCCTGGGGCACTGTCTAAGACCAACCTAGAGGTTATAATATAAAGGATGATGGATGGGAAAGTTTGCATCAAAAACAAAACAAAAAATTAAGCAGGCAGCGTGTACCTGTGTGTCCTTAGTTGTTTTATTGTACTGTAGTGTCAGTAACCCATTATGACAGAGGAGTACATGTGGTCCCATTGATTGTTAACTGTCCTTGGGTATGGAAGGTCACAGCTCAGCCCCACCACTGTTGACTCAATGTGTGACCCTGGCCAAATCACCCATTCAATCTTGGTTTCCACTTCTGTAAAATGAGCAGGTCAGAGGCTGAATGAGGGGAACGTAGCCTCATCCTACCCCTTTTCTGGCAATTCAGTTTCAGTTTATTTGTTGGAAGAAAGGAGAGTCCTCCAGAGAGACGATGGAACTGTCTTTGCGGATCACCACCTTGGAGCTTCATTTTCCATGGCCACCCTCACACTGTGAATATTGGTGACATACTATGCGGGGCTATTGTGATGGACAATACACTTCACACATCGAAAGTATTATAAAAGATATGCAGCAGTATTTGAGACTGTTGTTAGCTGAGAAATAGAAGCAAAAGTAAGTACCATTGACTTCCATAGCTTTCAACAGGAGAAACTGAAACACGTGTTTAACATTCCCATTGAGTAATGGGGTTCAGAGTCACTTAACAGCAACTGAATCATGTCCATAGTCTTCCGGTTATGTAATGAAGAGCTGTGTCTTTAACATCATTAAAATAAATAAGCAAATAAATTGAATGTCACATCCTTCCCACAATAATTCTACAGCAGGAGGTTTTCCCCAGGGGATGCAAATTTTTGCTGCAATTGTCTTTTACAAGGGACGGGGTGTACAGCCTGGGGGTGAGGATCATAGCTGGCGGCAGGAACTATTAGCCGCTGGCTGCATCTGCCTATCCTAGTCTTAATGCCGTACTTTATTGGTACATAACCACTGATAACCATCAGCACCCACAAGGCGTGTGTATAACTTCGTGAATCTACTTTTGCTATATTAATCAGAAAACAACATAAGAAGTAACTTTCTAGGAAACTGAGAAATTATATGTCATGAAGTATGAATGGGACGTGGGTGACGCTGTGGGTAAAACCTCAGCACCTAGGACTTGCCGATCGCATGGTCGGCGGTTCGAATCCCCGCGGCGGGGTGCGCTCTGGTCGTTCGGTCCCAGCGCCTGCCAACCTAGCAGTTCGAAAGCACCCCTAGGTGCAAGGAGATAAATAGGTACCGCTTACCAGCGGGAAGGTAAATGGCGTTCCATGTGTGCTGCGCTGGCTCGCCAGATGCAGCTTGTCACGCTGGCCACGTGACCTGGAAGTGTCTGCGGACAGCACTGGCTCCCGGCCTATAGAGTGAGATGAGCGCACAACCATAGAGTCCGTCAAGACTGGCCCGTACGGGCAGGGGTACCTTTACCTTTACCTATAGAAGATCTACTAACATGAGATGTTATACTGGAATGTGAGGACCAAACTAGCAATTGTGTGAATTGGTTTTTAAAGTAAGGGGGGGTGTATTGATCTGCATTGGGACCACCATGGGGGTAAAGGGTTAAAATCCCCCCACCCCCACCACTTGCACACCTGCTAGGGTCCAAATCCACATCAAATATCTGGCCATGTGATCATTTCAATAAGGAATCATGGAGCCAGCATGCTATGTAACAACCTCATAAAACCAAATCAAAGTAAGGGCATCCTGTTCTTCAGCTAAGTAGGAGAGCATCTCTGACTTGTTTTACAATACATACCCCCTCCAATTATTGCTGAAAAAGGAGGCATATTTTGCAGAGAACATTGCAAATGTGGGGCCCGATATTTCGGCTCAGTCCTGGAGTTAAGCTTGTGTTTAAATCTCTTCCATTGAAGTTGGTGGGGTGTAAAAGCACTGATATTTGACAAGGAAAAGACCCTGTAGGCTTTGCCCCAGACACTTTGAACCCAAGCATCTAGCTGTGCAAACTGGCTGACATTCGATAGGGTCCTACTGGTTTCAACAAAGACAAGGATTTGGATCTCCTAATTTTCTAAACTATATCCTGTCGGTGAACATTGCTAATGTATAAAGGAGCGAGTGACTCATCAGTGTAATGAACTATGAACACACACATTGCTATTTTTTGGTAACTGAGTATGTTAGGCTATGAGAATAGAGCAACTCTATAAAGGGCATCAGATGGAAAAGCAAAATATCCTGATATGAGGCTTTAGAAAACTGAATCCGACAAACAGAGGGGCCTCACCCAGTAGCAAGGTGAGCAAATACAGGGCAATTTATCTTCAAGTGCATTAAGAATCTTTTGCAGCAAACGTTTGCTGAAGGCCAGATCACTGCACAAAGCAGTACAGCGAGAAGCCAGGAGTGATTAGAAAGTGGGAAGCTCACAGCCTCACCCAGAATACTCACCTCTTAATCACATTATCAGCAAAGGAGGGCTTTTCCTCATTGTTAGAGACCGTGGAATCACAGGGTTTTAGCTTCTCTGTAAGGTCAAAGAATGAGTCACTCCGCTAACACAATGCAGAGAATAAATTTCATTGCTGCACACAATGGGGGACAACAATGTAGACTGGGGATAGCCAGCTTCTATAGTCTCAGAGTGATGCCATTTTCTAGCCAATGTTCTGGGAAATGGATGGTGTGCTTTGCTGTGCAGTCCAACTGCCTCTGGTTGAACAATAAAGGGATTGCCACATATATCTATTTAATTTATTTATTTAGAAAGATTGAGGAAGCAATCCCAAACCTCTCACAAGGGTGTACATAATTGTAGATGAAACACAGCTAAAACCACAAAACTATTAAAAAACAAATACAGTAGTACCTCAGGTTAAGAACTTAATTCGTTCTGGAGGTCCGTTCTTAACCTGAAACTGTTCTTAACCTGAACCACCACTTTAGCTAATGGTGCCTCCTGCTGCCTCCTGCTGCCGCTGCTGCGCGATTTCTGTTCTCATCCTGAAGCAAAGTTCTTAACCCGAGGTACTATTTCTGGGTTAGCGGAGTCTGTAACCTAAAGCGTCTGTAACCTGAAGTGTCTGCAACCCGAGGTACCACTGTATACATTAAATAATTCTCAATAAAACACAGATAAAAATCAGTATTGCAATTATTTCTAAACACACACTAATGTGAGTAACTGCATTATTTGATTAGTTAGGCTTGCTGAATTTTTTTATTTTTATTTTTTTAATCAGCAATATTTAAAAAAATATTGAGGGTGCCTGCCTAATGTCAACAGCAGTAAGTGTTTCACAATTGTGGGGCACAATTATATAATTAAGGCAACATCATTTATGTGTACAGAGCCTGATGAATGTGTGTGCTTCCTATGAGAGTTCCCTCTAGTGGCAGATTAGCAGTGACCCATTGCCTTTCTGTGCAACCTGTATGGAAAGCAAATTATATCCCATTGTTTCTTCCACAAACGATTGTCCAGAGCTTTTTTACCCACTCCTAAGAGTGATGTGGGTGGCGCTGTGGTCTAAACCACTGAGCCTCTTGGGTTTGCTGATCAGAAGGTCGGCGGTTCGAATCCCCACAACGGGGTGAGCTCCCATTGTTCAGTCCCTGCTCCTGCCAACCTAGCAGTTCGAAAGCAAGTCAGAGTGCAAGGAGATAAATAGGTACCACTCCGACGGGAAGGTAAACGGCATTTCTGTGCACTGCTCTGGTTCGCCAGCAGCGGCTTAGTCATTCTGGCCACATGACCCGGAAAAACTGTCTGCAGAAGCGGACAAATGCCGGCTCCCTTGGTCTGTAGAGCGAGATGAGCGCTGCAACCCCAGAGTCGTCCACGACTGGACTTATAAAAGGTAAAGGACCGCTGACAGTTAAGAGTGAAATTAAAGTGTGGAGCATCTCCCAGTTTTGGGATGCAAAATTATTTTCCTTGCTACTGAAACTCTGAGCAATCTTCTTTTAAAAAAAACAACTAAAGTTGATTAAAACTTGGTGTGACACAGTTGTTTGGTGGGGGGTAGGCGTGGATCTGGCCCACTGCGTGTCAGCTTGCCATTTCTGATCTGGACAATGTTCTTTAATATGTTCACCAGGCTCCACATGACCACATGGAGATTATGAGGAGGCATTGGTTCTAGCAGCATCTCCATATGAAAGCTACTGGCACACCAGTTGCAATTCAAGTGATCATGGCAACCTTTCTGCAGCTGCCAGGATCCTTGCAACACCTTTGTGTCCACTCTTCATATGGAGACATTGGTTCATATATGCAGTGCCTGCTCCAAGCAGTCTCAGGCAGGTTGCAAATCCATTAGCAGCAGTGCAATCTTAAATTTCACCCTCTGTTTCCCCTAAGAATAGAGTTTCATCTTCAGATGGTGCATAATCCTCTTCCTTCAGCTTAGGATCTCATGTCACACAAGAGAATGGGTAGGCAAACTAAGGCCCGGGGGTCGGATCCGGCCCAATCACCTTCTAAATCCGGCCCGCAGACTGTCAGGGAATCAGCATGTTTTTACATGAGTAGAATGTGTGCTTTTATTTAAAATGCATCTCTGGGTTATTCGTGGGGCATAGGAATTCGTTCATTCCCCCCACCCCAAAAATAGCCTGGGCCCCCCACAAGGTCTAAGGGACAGTGGACCAGCCCCCTGCTGAAAAAGTTTGCTGACCCCTGCACAAGAGGGACATACAGAAAAATGTCTGCCCTTAGCCAGTGAATGAAGGACACAGATAATTGTTAGAAAGCTTCAAGTCGGGCAAAACTTCTCTTTTATGATCAAAGTACTTCTTCTGAACTTTTTAAAAAAGAGGGCAGATTATGCCTACTTTTTAAAAAGATGAAAGATAACTTGGGCTGGAGAACCTTTGGCCCTCCAGATTTTTTTTTGGACTACAATTCCCACCAGGTCCAGCCATCATGGCCAATAGGCACTATGGGAATTGCAGTGTAGCGACATCTGGAAGGCCTAAGGTTCCCCAGCCCTGGTCTAACAATCATTAAAGTAGCTCTGCCTTTAAAGTGAAGCAGATTTAATCTTAGTTACCTTCCTGGGATTCTGCCTTGGAATTTTCTTGTGTTGTTCACACCAGAACTCCTTGTGGGGAGTCTATAATGAACAACCAGTGTATAATAAGCAAATAAAGTAAATATTTTAGTTAGGAGTAGTACTAAACTGGTTGACCCCTTTTCTATGTATAACCATGAACATGATATACTTTATAGCACTCCCCAAAAGGTTGGATTGTGAAAATGGGTAAGTATCTGCATTTAGAAGGGAACAGGGTTATTAGTAGTTCATGAGTTCCCCCTTCCTGCCTCACAGCCGGAAATTAGAACTACTTAAACCTCTTTGGTTAAGAATATGCTCTGCAATGATCCATATTTAAAGTGAAGAGAATTCAGATAACTTTTTAAGAATCTTGAAGGTCCTGTTTTATCATTGCATCAAATGTTTGCTCACCATTTCCTAGACTGAAAACAGGAATTTCTAGAACTAGGCCGTTGAGGTAATCAAAAGAGTTCAAAAGATAAATTTCAGCGTGAGAGAATTACCTGGATAGGTTCCAGCCATGGGGCTGATTGATTATTATTATTATTATTATTAATAGCAAAACACATTAGCAAATATTTAAACATTTGGATCTCTGCCCAGCACCAGAAAAATTTCCGATCGGAAACCAACTGTCTGTTAGTTAGATAAAAGGCCAGAGTGAAGAGTTAAGTCATGTGAGCTAGAAGGTGGAAGTAAAGCTGCAGCCTGGAAAGGCAGAGAGAGAGAGCCATGCCTAATTTCTGCTGGAATCCAAGGCTGTGGCTATGGGGGACGTCTTGGGCTGTGAACCTGTCCATCACAGGCCACAGCTGTCAACTTTCAGATTTGAAAATAAGGGATCAGCAGCCTCACCTGTCCTGGTGACAGTCTACGGGATATCTAACAATCTGGGATAGCAGCGGGAAGCAGCGGGAAACGGAGCTGGAATAAGGGAATTTCCCGCAAAAAAGGGGAATGTTGACAGCTATGTCACAGGCTCAGGTTGTATATATGTGTAAATAAGCCATCGCTAAAAACACCACAGTCTCTGCTGTGCCTCATCCCAAAGGAAACACAAACCCAGGAACACCTGGAATTTTGCACCGCTCAGAGACTGGGGTGATGCACAACAATACATTATCACCAAGTTTCCTTACAATGAGTTGCAATCCATTGCCAGGTCCCAGTCTTTTAAAACTTCAGTGTTCAGTACATAACGTGCTGCCTAACTACATATAAAATTACAACCTACAAACATGACAATAGCAATTGTGAAACATGATATCTTAGAACAGAAAGTAGGTGTAAAAACTAGATGTATTTAAAAACAAAGCTACCCGGTGCAGCTCTCCGTTGCAAGAGGAAAGTCTTTTTGTACTCCACTAAGAAAGAACAATGTACAAAAAATTCCTCATTTGAAATGCATTTGGGCCTCTTATGTTCTGTCATCAGCCAGATAGGACAAGGTCTGCAGGAGAACTGATACTTCTAGTACTATTTACTCAGGTTTGCAAGAAAATAATTTCAGTGTCAGTTGGCACTTTGATAACATTTAACTGGCCGTTATCAAATGAGAAGGAGCATTTCCAAAAATGGCAGCAGTATAGAATTTGTACTAATGTAGCAGCTTTGAGTTCCAGGGCAGTGGACACTTCTCAAAAACCCATTTTGTTGGTAGCTGTTCATTATTTTTATTTAACAATCTAATATTTGTTCATTTATATAAATTCCTCTCTTATACTTCATTCATACATTTTTCCATTTTCATGTTTCACTCATTGCTTGCATACTTTCATCATTTCTGGCCTTTGATTTAAATAAATCTTTCCAATTTGTTTTATTTTTCATCTGTCTCTGATTCATTTCTGATTACCGCTACTAGTTCACTGGAGCAAGCTTACTGGAGAAAAATGGGAGAATCTATTTTCAAATGACTTCTATAAGCACATTTATTTATTTATTTTGCACACTCCAGCTAGTGAATGGGCATGATGTGCATCTGAACGAGCATTCTGTTGAAAGAAAAGGATGGCATCTGGAAAAGTGCCTCTGAGATGTGCATCAAATAGAATTTAATGGTGAGTTTCCATATTTTTATGTGCATTCAAATGCACATTCCGATGTTCATCTGATTTACTACTGCAGTTCCTAAAATAAATGTTAACCAAGACACACTGTGGTATTTCCAGAAAAAATGATTGAAATAACCATTGGTTGGTTGCAGCCCACCTTTCACCAAATGGTCCAAGGGTGGCATACCAAAACACCATAAGTAAGTGCAATGTACAATTACAATCATAAAATTAAACCACAAAACCTACCAATTTCAGAATAATGAAACAGGAGCACAGATCTCCAGGGCACAGCAAAGCAGAATAATCACAGATATCTACTCAGCTGAGGGCCTGGGGCAAAGAGGTACCCCTTTCCAAGGATCCAAGCTTTCACTCAACTCAGTGTGCCATTTATTTGCACCCAACATTTTGTGCTCCATTATTCAGCGATGACGTACTGCTAGTTTTACTGATGTGATGGAAACCCATGCTAAAATGCATGACAATGCAATCTATGAAAGACAACTGGGGGGGGGTGAAAGGGAGGCGCTGAAGTCTGCTGTAAATCTGATCATAAGAACCCAAGCTGTTAGAGAGGCACCAGAAAAATGAAATCAAAGACAAACTTTCATAGGTAGCTGTGTACTTTATTTGGGAACTTCTCCATTAACCCTTCAGTGTATAGTGCAAACATTTTCTCTCCACTGAACAATCAGATGACCACTTTGCTATACATGAAACTGCAACACCTGCCCACTCAGTTTTCAATCTACTGTATGTATGAAATTCAGTCCTGAAGCTGGAGCCTATCTCTTTTCCTAATGTATTATTATTATTATTATTATTATTATTATTATTTTCTTTTTCTACTAGCCTGGCTTTATTTCCTTTGTTTAAATCTACCAGTCATCTTTAGAATCCTTGCAAGCCACATATGTCAATCACAACATTTCTCTGAACATGCGGGTATCAGTTTATGTATTTTTGTTGAACAATGATATGTTGTTTTATCTTTTATAATCTTTACACTGTCGTTTCTCCCTTTTCTAATAATAAAAAAATGAAGTCCCATGTTCAGGTCATAGAAAAGTAAGTAATATGGGCAACAGTATTGCACTTCAGTCAGTGACCCCATGTTGGGTCCATCAATCTCAGTTTAGGCTGGGCATTTTTACCTCATGCCAGCCTATTTCTAAAGCCGTCTGTATTTAATTTACCGCTCCTCCCTCAGTTAAAGGGTTATTGTGTTGGCCTCAGTCACTGAAATATCAGTGGACTGGACTTTTCATGAAGAAAAATGGTTGTTCATGACAGGTTGTTTATGAGGTTTGCTTGATTCATTGATCTAGATCATGTCCACATCTATGTTCACAGAGGAATTTTCCCTAGAAACTATGGAGAGATGTTACCAGCGGATGACTGAATAAAAATATCACATATAATTCTTCCTGAATAAGCACCTCAGAATGCAAATTTAGCAGAGTAAGTAAATATTTTGTGGGGTACATACACAAAGCAGGACTGGCTTTAACATTAGGCTGAGGGAGATAACTGGCTCAGGAAGCAGATGCTGGAGAATGGGTAGCACTGGCAGGATGTTAGAGGACAGAGTTCCATGTGCCATGTGACCCAGTCCAAACCCAACCCCCAAGCTAGCCTACTGTCTCCACATGCAGTAGAGGCAGGGTGGGGCAGTAGTACTTACCTGACTTCCTATCACCAGCATTGCTATGACATACTGGGAGAAGGAGATGGGTATTGGCAAGGTCAGCATGGTGCAAATGCACTGGCAGATAACCAGGTTATTAAGAGACTTGTCCCACGGTGATGGATTGCAGCCTTAAATGTTTAGGTTTAGGTTTTAGCAGTAATTTAAAAAGCCAAATAAACTTTCTCAGCATCATTTCCAGGAAAAGGTGAGCATGGTGGATTAAATGGAAAGTCTGAACTCAGAATAGCATTGTGAAAAGCATAGGAGTTTTTTATTGGATTCTTTTCTCTGCGTCATTGGTCATTCATTTAACAATAAATCAAGAGGAGATCCAGTGATCTGATATGTTCTGGGTGGCAGTTGTAAACACAGTTATTAAATCAGGCCAACCAGTATCAAAAAATTGAGAGGAAAATGATGGGACAGGGGACAACTGTGGAATGACTATGGGTGTTGATATAGAGCAGGTAGAACAGCCTCTTCATGAGCTGTGAGAGATAGAAGAAAACTTGGGAGTTTTCAATGATAATCTGATTGGCATCCCTCTGTCTTGGTAGACAATGGAGGAGTGCACCTTTGCAGATGAAGTCAGATGATTGGAGAGTTACAGAGCCCGCTGTGGGTGTAGAGACATGTTTTGTTGTGGCTGGGACAGATGAAAGTGTCCAGTTGTGCTGCTGCAGATACTCCATAGGTTTACTCCTTCGCCTCTTCTCCTGAAGATGTCCCACAAGACAGTGCGTATGGATTGTTCCTCAGGGTTTACTCCCAAAGCCTTTCTCACAAATGAGTATAGCCGCAAGGCAGCAGAGGTTTAGGATCAGAGTTTTCCTTCTCCTTGATGGGCTACCTTCCCAGGTTGACGAGCCCCACCTGCCCTTCATTTCCCTTTACAGCATGTGCAGAAACTGCCTTCTTGTAGATGCACACACAAATGTGTGCCTCTTCAAAGGAAAACACACATAAAAACAACTGTACAATAAATACAACACCTAAAACCAGTATAAGAAGATGGCAGCAATACTACAGTAAAATCAAAATCAAGTTTCAAAGAGAGAGATTGTACTATACAGTGGTACCTCGGGTGAAGTACTTAATTCGTTCCGGAGGTCCGTTCTTAACCTGAAACTGTTCTTAACCTGAAGCACCACTTTAGCTAATGGGGCCTCCTGCTGCTGCCGTGCTGTCAGAGCACAATTTCTGTTCTCATCCTGAAGCAAAGTTCTTAACCTGAAGCACTATTTCTGGGTTAGCGGAGTCTGTAACCTGAAGCGTATGTAACCTGAGGTACCACTGTATAGGCTTTTCTTATTTGCTGGAATAGCATCATGGGTGCTTTGAACTGTTTGCTAGTACCCTTCTTGTGGTGCCTTTGCACTTGTGGTGGGTTGTTGAATTGTTGTGTTGCCCTCTAAATCTTGTGTTTGCATTACCAGTGTGTGTTGCAAATGATTAAAGCCAACAATTTGCATGCCTCTCTTGTCTTCTCTTGAACTTCCTGCTTGAACTTCTGGGCAATTCATGATTAACTTGTTGATGGGGGGCGGGGGCGGGAGAGGTCTCTGCTGCTGCAATGGTGCAATCGATGAATTCCTCGCTAATTGTGCTACTTTTCTTAATGTTTGGTCACATATGACTTTTTTTTTTAAAAAAAGATTTGCACTCCACCCATCTTAAAAAGCTCTCTGCAGGTAATAATAAATTAAAACAATTATCCAAATGCTGTTAAATGCCAACCAAAACACACAACACTGTCAGGATGCTGTCAGCAGCTCCCAGTTGATTGCCCAGGAAAGTATAAAGACAAGGAAAAGTTTATTACAGTCCTTTTTTATTTCAAACTTTACAGTGAGAGGCTATAGAACCCAGCCTCTTGGATAATGGTGGTGTCCTGAGTGAACCTCCACCCTCTTTTTCTCCCACTTTCTCATTTGTCATTATCATCATCTTCTCTTCTATGGGTGCTGCTAAGTGCCATCTGTCTTTGAGCTCTTTGTTCTCCTACTTTTAAGGTTCACCGGTTTCTGGGAGATGGTGGGTCTGGAATGCTTTCTATGTGTCAGCCAGCTGCTGCTCTGGCTCTGCCTGCTCCTCCTTTCCCATGATTCCCCAACTTTCCCCCTCATCTGCCTCTGAGCTGTGACCTCCTGCAAACCACTGTTGTAAATCTATACTGTCTTCCTCTTCCTCCTCCCTGGAAGGGTTAGGATGGGGAGGTGGTCTCCACCATTCCTCCTCCTCTGCCCAGACCCTGACACACACAAATTGCAGAGTGTACACTAACATGATCTCCATTTTATATGTCAGAAGAAGAAAAGGAAAACATAAAATGTTTGCCTTTTTCCTTTGAAGTAAAATATTGAACTTAATATTAAAAAAATCTGGAGATGTTTAGATTAGAAGTCTTTCCTGCAAACAAATTTAAAGGTTCTCACCAACATTTGGGATGCAAAATGTGATGTTCATTTGTTAACTTAGGTGCCGGAATGAAATTAGATTTTTAGTTTAGAGGAGGGTTTTTTTTTAATTATTATTATTAAAAAATGTTTTTTAATGGCCACTTACTGTCCCTATGTGAATCTCTCCTGGATGTTGTTTCTCATTGTGAGTTCTTTGCTGCCTTTGTGTTCCACTTATTTAGTACAGAAGAAATCCTCCTTTCAAAGGGATTAGCACAACTGTGGAAGCATCAAATCTCCAACCAACAAGAAATAAGTGGTGAGACATTGCGCATCCCATGTCCAGTAGCACATGCTGGCCTCCCATCAGTTTGTGCTCATGGAAATAATTTGCATCACAGTAGCTTTGTTTCTATGTTGCAGAACATGGGATCATCTAGCTAGCTTCCTGTTCTGCCACAACACAGAGAAATCCAGTTTACCAATGCGCCACAGAGTGCAGATGCACTGGGTAGAGGAGACATGAACACTTGGAGAACAAATACCTGTGGGTGACTTATGCAAGCAAGGGTTCACGTGCTACAATAAAAGACAGAGATGGGAGAAGTCCAATTGTATCTCATAGCTAGGAGCACAGGTCCGCCTCCTCCTGCTGCCATAAAGGTAAAGGTAAAGGGACCCCTGACCATTAGGTCCAGTTGTGGCCGACTCTGGGGTTGTGGCGCTCATCTCGCTTTATTGGCTGAGGGAGCAGGCGTACAGCTTCCGGGTCATGTGGCCAGCATGACTAAGCTGCTTCTGGCGAACCAGAGCAGCGCACGGAAACGCCGTTTACCTTCCCGTCGGAGCGGTACCTATTTATCAACGTACTTTGATGTGCTTTCGAACTGCTAGGTGGGCAGGAGCTGGGACCAAGCAACGGGAGCTCACCCCGTCGCAGGGATTTGAACCGCCGACCTTCTGATCAGCAAGTCCTAGGCTCTGTGGTTTAACCCACTGTGCCACCCGCATCCCTCCTGCTGCCATAAGCCCTGCCCTGCTGCCATAAGCCCTGCCTATATATGCTATGTGTGGCCCCTGAGCCACAGGTTGGCAGTCCATGCATCAAAACATTGCAAGCACGTGACATCTTGGCTGTAAAGCATCCAGTGAATTAAATTAAGCCCTCAAAGTGACTGAGTGAAACATGAACTACTCTCTCCTGACTTGCCCAACTTATTCACTTTGAGGAAAGTTTCTTCTACATTCCTATGCAAGGCTTGTTGTCAAATAGCACTTCGATGAAGTGTAGGCTTTTATACTTTATGGTTGTTTTGGAATGAAAATGCAGGACACAGCATAAGGAGATCCTTATCTTGACCTATTTCAGCACACTTAGCAGAAGTTTCTTTTCACAGGCTGAACAGTCACAAAGTACTCTTTGATGCCAACTAGCACAAGCATTGTCTCAAATACACAATATTTCATTAAGGACTGTTTTCACACCATGAAACCCAGCTAGCAGCTTTCGTGCCTTGTTCTGAAGATACAACAAGAACGGAAAATAACTTGCCCTCCAGTAGCTCAAGTGGGCTGTGTGACAATAGCCGTCTCTGTTCAGGCTCTCGCCCTCTGTTGAAGTTCAACCCACGCCATTATTATTACATGATATACTGCTCAGATCACTTGGGTCCTGTTCCAGATATTGCCAAGAGCAGATTGTGTATTTAAGATTTTATTAGGGTTTGCCCTTCCTAATCTCCTGTGTTCATACCCTGCAGTGTGAATCAGTGGTTGCTGGTTATACAACAGCAGTGAATGCACTTAGCTCCGTTTATTTATTGATGCCTTTGCAGTGTGGGCTTTGACCAGGTTTCTCAAGAACCATGTTCTCATTAGCTATGTTTGCTTAGGTGGGAGCCAACATAAATCACAACTTCTTTAAATACTGTGTTTCTGAAGCTCTAAGCAAAGATGCCGGCAACAGTTATCTAATTCTGAAGCACGGGGGGGGGGGGGGGATGGTGGTCTTGGTCACACTTTCATTACACTGCAGAAGCTGCCGGTGAGAGTATTTCTCTACCAGCTTCTTTGCTGGAAAGGAAGTAATTGATAACTTCCTCCAAGATTAATTCAAGTTAAAGGAGCTGCGGGCGGCATGAAAAAGGTGTAACCGATATTCTTACTGAGAGGCCAGCCTGTCAATTCCTGCCCTACTTCTCATTCCTAAATGTGTTTATGTCTTTGACATGAAGTCATGTTCATCTGAAAAGAGCCTAAGTGCATCTTGGTCTTGGACAAACACTAGAGATTGTGCACATATTATTCATCGGCCACACTTTAATACTTGTTATAAGTATTGAATCCCACCAATCTGGTTTGTAAATTCTTTTCTTTCTTTCTTTTTTAAAAAAAGCCCAGTATCTTCCACATTCCATATACCCCTGCATTCCTTCTCTTAATCTTTCAGTATTTGCAAGTTTATTTTCCACAGCACAATGGTCAGCGCACCTTGAATCATGTAACTGACAAGCCATCTACCTAAGTGTGGCATCTTAGGACCACTTCCCATCAGGGAGGCCCACCTGGTGCCTTCCTTGTATATCTTTAGGAGCCAGGCAAAAACATTCCTCTTCTCCCAGGCATTTGGCTAACTTAACAAATGATGGCCTTTTAAACCAGTGGGGGTGGGGTATTGTCTTGTTTGTTATTATGTTGTGTATTTTTGGGTTTTAATATTGTAAGCTTCCCAGCACATGGATTTCCTTGCAAAGCTCAGGTTTCTCCACACACATATACACACAGATTCTTCAGGAAATTTATATAGCATCTGTTTTGCATGTAGAAGGTATCGTGCTCAATTCCTGGTATCTCCAGATATGGTTGGAAGCAGTGGTGGAGCAAGCTGATTGGGTGCCTGGGGTGGCATGCCCGTGGGGGCAGGGCCAACTGCCTGTGGGGCAGGGCAAGCCAGGGCAGGATGCTCCATGGGGCCTCCGAGGAGTCTGTCTGCCGCCTCCCACTCAGCTGCCCTACAGCTGAGGAGGAGGCGGTGGGCGGACCGTTTGGGGCAGCGCAGAGCCTGCGGGTGCCCAAGCCACCACGTCACTTCCAGGAGAGACATATGGCTCGGGTGCACTGAGTGCCGCCTGGCATTTTGTCACCCCCCTCAGTGGTGACACCTAGGGCAGACACCCCCACCGCCCCCCTTCCTCCGCTCCTGGTTGGAAGAGACTCCCTGTCTGGAGATCTGGAAAGATGCTGCCAGTTAGTGTAGACAGTCTTGAGCCAGGTGGGACCATGGTCTGATTCTGTATAAGGCAGCTTTCTATGTTGTATGTCCCTTCCTCCTGCACACGTCTCTAAGACGATGTTTCAAAACCAGAGAACTAAAACTGTTTATGGGGCTTTGTGAATCATGAGCTTGCAGGTTTTTTCAAATAAAGGAAGTATTTGAAAATAAGAGGCAATCTTTGGGTTATTAACTGAACCTGAAAGCTATGCTATATGCCAGTTTAAAAAGCAGAATTGGGAGTGGGGAGGTCTTCATGGAATGAAATTTGCGATCTTGAAATACTACTTCAGATTCAGTTTCCTCTTGGGTCACTGACAGAAGTTTATCTAAAGATTTGCAAGGTTCTTGCCTGCAATCCTATCCATACTCACTACCGCATGGAATGCACTTCTAAGAAAGTCTGTGTTGAATTGTGCCATAAGTCTTTTTAAATCAGTATGGGAAGCAGAATCCATACTGCCAGCACTTCAAGGCCTTCAGATGCAAGAATCACCTGTACACAAGAGAAAGCTGATAGGAAGTTTGTGATTCTATGATTCTATGTACTATACTGAATAACTGTCAAAGTGGTGTCCATAAACCAGGAGTGGACCTCTTTGATGGATGGTAAGGGCCTTTCAATCTCCTGACAAACACATATGACACCAGGTGTAGGGCAAATGGGTGTGATTTGGAGCAGCCATCCTCATGGGCCAAACTGGGACGCATGCCAGACCTAATTAGCCCTATGGGCTGGAGGTTGCCCACCACTGCTATAAGCTTGTCAAACCAGCTTATCAGAAACACATGTCAAGACATCTCAGAAACCATCACTTAGGGACCCTACCCCCCTCCCCGGCCAAACATAGGAATACTGTATTTTCCAGCAAATGTTGCATCGCGCCCCCTTAAAGACAGCTAGCGTCAGAGAAATAACTCCAGATTTGTACTACTCTATGAGAATCAGCTTCTCAGAGGCATTGAATTGAAACCAAATATTGTCAGCACTGAAAGGCTTTCCCACCCATTTGCTTTAGTGAATCAGAGTGAATGAATGAGCATACAAAGGTGTTCCATACCATCTAGACCCACACCATAAAAGCAAATTTACCTTTTCCCATTCTCTCCCAGGTGTAGAGGAAGAGAAGGAAAGGAAAGAGAGGGCTTTAGCAGGCTGGCCACAGTGGTTTCAAAACCTCCCATGATCCAAGCTCCTACTATGGCATACTGATACGAAATCTTCATATTCTATTTCTTTTCAGAGCACAAAAAAATATTCTGCCTATGCACATCTCTACAAAGATGTTGGAAACAATGGAATACTTACAGCCAGCATTGGGGCTTTATCAAGAAAGGTGTGTTGATAAGGCGAACAACTCAAACCAGCCCTTTCTGTCAATATTAACATGAGATAAACCTCTCATGAAAGGCTATTGGCACACAATATTCTACATTGCATTGGTAGTGGCCAGGAAGGCACCTTTTAACATGAACCTATCCTAAAAGTTTCTAACCTTCCTAAGAATCAACCATAGAAGCGTAACATTCCACCCCACAAGAAAGAAAAGTGCTCTTTATACTGTTACAAATTGGGGGTGGCCAGACTCCTCTTCTTCCTCCTCCTCCTTCTCATTATTGTTATTAGAATCTATATACCACCCAATACCCGGAGGTCTCAGGGCGGTTCACAGAATAAAATCAAAATATAAAACCACAAAATACATAATCAAAATAAAAACAACCACCACCCAATAATCCCCCCCAAGAAAACCCCCACCAGATTTTAAAAGGGCATAGGATGTCAATCAACCAAAAGCCTGGTTAAAAAGGAACGTTTTTGCCTTGCACCAAAAGGTGTATAATGAAGGTGCCAGGAGAACTTCCCTGGGGAGAGCATTCCACAAATGGGGAGCCAACTGAAGAGAAGGCCCGTTCTCGTGTTGCCACCCTCTGGACCTCTCAAGGAGGAGACACACAAAGAAGGGGCTCAGAAGATGATCTCAGAGTCTGGGTAGGTTCATATAGAAAGAGGTGGTCCTTGAGGTATTACAGTC